ATTATTAAGCTTATACTTGTTTTGTTGAATTTCTAGTGAGGGAAAATTAAGACAAGCGTACGAGTCACAATTATAAGGATAATCAAAAAACCTACTCCCGTTATATTGAAGTATAAAATTGTAACTCATGAGCATACAGAGGTAGAACGTGTTTCTTTCATCAGTTAATATAAGTTTTTCTTGAGTTAAACACCATTATAGGATAAAACAACAATTGCTCTGTAACCCACGAAGCTACTTTGGTGTATTTTTCATGATACAAAGCACTTATAAATGATAGCTATTTCTGTGATATGATGAAAATTACCCACATGCGGTTAAAATGAGTTATAAGTACTTGTTTTAGCGTTTCAAAACGCCTACCAATGGGGAAAAAGTGATAACCAGGACAGACATGTCGTAACTAGGAATTGAGCGGACATAATTTTCAGTGTGAAATTATCAATTCATATGACGTCATGTTATAGCTGACGGTAGTGCACCAAAAACCAATTACAATATAATTACCGGAATGACGTCACATGCATACTGATATTCACACTGAATATTATACCATTTTCTGTACGATTACAATTGTATTGGATAATATCTCATTAAAGAAGTAGAAGGTGTGTGTTTATTTAAGATACATATAGAAATAATCCATTTCCAGCAGCACAAAATAGACGAAGATACCAATGGTTTACTGTTAAGTCGAAGAGATAAACTGACCATGCAATGACAAAAACCGAAAAACGACGGAAAGACAAGTCCAAAAAAAACACACCGGAGGGGGTCTCTTCCTATATAAAGGTATACACAGAAGTGTCGCTGGTATGGGTCACTTTTTTGGAATGTAAAATATATCAATGGGGTGCAATTTCACGGAGCTAATACATCAATGGGTAAATATTCAATGGGTCATAAATGTTAATCTTCTGTTAAGATGTCTGTAAAAACAGGTGTTCTGATCTTTTTATCTAATAATATGAATGATCCCATGTTGTTGACGTCTAAATAAGATGTCATAATAACTGGGAAATCTGTATAGATGGGTTGTGATTTTTCAAGAAAAATATGAATGGGTAGGGATTTTTGCGTAAATCAATATATGAATAGGAGTGTTTTTTAAACCCAAGCCGGATGTCTGTACCCAAATTTTTATATTGAGACATCCCCATACCCCCGTAACAATACACTACATGGAAAACTAAAGTATGTGCTACACGAATCCAATCGGGTGCTTCGGAAGGGTAAGCAGATTCTGAACTAAAGACTGTGCTACACGAATCCAATCGGGTGCTTCGGAAGGGTAAGCAGATTCTGCTTCAAATGAGACATCCGTTGAGCTACTTTTGATAAAACAAGATGATAAGTTATATCAAAGGATTAGGCATCACACAATAACGGAATAGTAATTGGCTAAAGATAGGAGGACGATTGTTCAACTATGACATAAAGCAATGTCTTATTAGTGTACGGTCACATGACTGTTTTATGACTGTCCCTCTGGTATCTTTCGTCCCTCTTTTATGATATTTTTTTTTGTATTTAGACTGTCCTGTTGTTATTGAAATGAGACAAAACTGTCGTTGGACAATTAATGTACAAAACGGGTTACTGTGGTCGTTTTCTTGAGAGAAAAAAAAATGTTGCTAGAAGACACGAACATCTTGTTAAGAGATATTAATTGAGTAATTGGGAATCTGGTGTGATAAAATGTTGTACTTAAATATCTTGTGGAATCTTGTATTGAGACATTTAGTTCTTGTAGTTGTTGTACTGATATATGACTGTCATATACTGATATGACTTGCTTGTGGTTAATGTATTATGCATGTTATACTTTGACACTATAAAAAAAAGTAAAATCACAAAAATACTGAACTCCGAGGAAAATTCAATCGGAAAGTCCCTAATCACATGGCAAAATCAAATGACAAAACACATCAAACGAATGGACAACATCTGTCATATTCCTGACTTGGTCCAGTATAATGGATTGCCATGCTTACAGTATTTCAAGGCACCTCTTGAGATAGTTTAAATCTAAGGAAGAGGTCGGACATTGGAAATAATGATGGTGTTGTATAATGACAATGAAAAGAATAAAAGTGCCATTTTATGAGAATGATAAAAATAATGCACCATAATATGACAATGACAAGAATAATACTGCAATATCTATGACAGTGATAAGAACATGATACCATATTTATGACAATGATAAGAATAATGATGCCATATTTATGACCATTATCTCATTATACGGTTCTTAATAAAATTACTATCTCTTACAGGGATTGTGGAGAGATGTTTTATTCCCCATATAGAATCAATAAAACACATTGACTTACACTTGAAACAAATAATCATTATACGGTAGTCAGTTTGTTTGGTGGGAGAAAAAAACATCCCATCAATTAGCCAATTACCTTTGCAGATTGGTATAAGTCTGTGAAACGAAAGGAAAGCCTAATAAAAGTATGTCCGGCCAGATATCAGACGTTTACAGCAATGTAAGCGACATTGTTTACCAGCATTTAAATCAGCCTGATCATTTTATCCTTTCTATGCAAGTTCGCATCATCGAAAATATATACCACAGGACTAGCCATCCTCATCTAGCAACACCTCTCCGTAGACAAAAGGAAGACTACTGGATTCGACAATTGGGAACTGCGACACCATATGGTTGAAATGACAAATTTGATGGTAAAGTATTCTATCTAGTCCTTCTTGTAGCTCCGTGAATGTGATGAACATTTTCAACTCTACTCCTAGACGTAGACGCAATCATGGTCATTATCATTATACAGCATCTACTCTCCATGATGTTTCTATTAATGACCTGCTGCTATTTATACAAAAGCCACTTGGTATTCATCACATTCGCACGAAGCTTTATTCATTATCCCTTTCAAAACTTCATTCTCTGCAGAACTTTGTATGGAAACCACTGCTACAAACCCCCATTCAAACCAATACAAGCTTACAACCATCATCTCGGATATTGCCAGTCACAGACTTTTCAAACCAGTTCGCATTGGAAAAGATGAAACGGAGAAAAAATCCTTTCTAAAATTTCCTTTGCCAATAAAGGTCTCGATACCGGCAACTTCGCAATATCCTTCATCATTAATCAGTTCATTCAAAAATACCTCCCTATTTTAAAGATCAGTCTGTACCTATCATTTCTTATACCTATACCAAAACAATTGCAACTAAAATTTTCAAATACAAACTTGTGTTGCACGATCTCAATATTGACGACTTCAAGTTAAAACCTTCTGATTGCACCTTTGATAGTTCTCCATTCATATATCATCCGACTAGACACGCTATTACTGGTGACCTAAACGTTGTCAATAACACTTTTCTGCAAAAAAATTTTCTGAAACTGACATTCTCAGGATGTTTGATTTCTCAGTTTTAGTTTTAAACCCGGATTTGTTTTTTTCTCAATCGATTTATGAATTTCGAACAGCGGTATACTACTGTTGCCTTTATTTAACAATATATTTGTTACGTTTGGAGGACGTGTTTTTCAACAAACATTTGGCAATTCCCATGGGAACCAACTGTGCTCCTCTTCTTGCCGACTTGTTCCTTTATTCATATGAGGCTGACTTCATATAGGAAAATCTAAGGAAGAAAAAAAGAAGTTAGCAGTATCCTTTAACTTCACATTCCGCTGTAGAGCTGATGTTCTCTCCCCAAATAATTCAAAATTTGGTGACTATGTTGAACGCATCTATCCCATCGAACTTGAGATAAAGGATACAACAGATACAGTTAAGTCTGCCTCATATCTTACATCTAAAAATTGACAATGAGGGTTGGTTGAAAACAAAACTTTACGACAAAAGAGATGATTTCAGCTTTCAAATTGTGACTTTTCATTTCTATTTAGCAACATTCCAGCAGCGCGCGCATACGTAGTATATATCTCCCAGTTGACACTATATTCTATAGCCTGTATTTTCTATCATGATTTCTTGATAGAGGGTTGCTGCTCACAAAAAAAAGCTATTTAACAAAGAGTTCAAAGTAATGAAGTTGAAATCACCCATTCATAAATTTTACGGACGCCATCACGAGTTGGTTGACTGTAATGGAATATCTGTTTCACAGATGACAGATATGTTCCAATTGTCTACAATTCCGTCCCCTTTTCCCCAAATGTGACCTACCGAATAAAACTTATCACCGGGTTTGTACTTACACGAGCAACACGACGGGTGCCACATATGGAGCAGGATCTGCTAACCCTTCTGGAGCATATGAGATCACCCAAGTTTTTGGTGGGGTTTGTGTTGCTCAGTTATTAAGTTTTCTATGTTGTGTTTTGTGTACTGTTATTTGTATGTTGGTCTTTTTCTTTTTTAGCCATGGCGTTGTCAGTTTATTTTCGACTTGTGGTATCTTTGGCCTCTTTTTTAATCAGTAAATGTCATTAATATACCCTGCATTGTAAACAAAATTGCTGAATCCGATTTGTTACCAGGTGACAATCCACAGGCATACATGTCATATTATGCTGAATACAACTCATTAAATGATCTTGCCTTTATAGCAGGAAAGCATATGATAATAATTCCAAAGTCTTTGATTGGTACTCACCTGATATTGAACTGTTCACCTCCAAAACTAAATGCAAGCAGGCTATAGCGAAACCATCTGACTTTGAATGGGTTTTTCAACTGATGATTCTAATGTAGATGAAAGATGGGTCTGATAATAATTGAAACATAATGAAAATACAAAGCCTGGTATCTTTTATTAATTTCTACAACCACAGGTCAATGCCATTGTGGTTGAAGTTTCATCCCTGACAGAATGACTAGTCCAGAAGTCACAACACTCCTGTTCTGACATGCAGTATCATTGCCACAGTCCTTTCATGTTAATTAACTGTTCATAAAATGTTAAAAACATTCGAAACACTTAGGTGTTCAAAAAAATAATAAGACAAACATCAGTTCCAAAATATCATACAACAAACAAAAAACAAACAATCCTTTTTGATTTTGTAACATTTAATAGATATTGCACCATATAACATCAAAATTTGAAAATAAATCTAAAGTGAACTAATTATCACATATAAATTTGAAATATATCTTAACAATATGGCATGGTAGTATAAACAACCAAGTTATTTCATAACAATTGTGCACTAGTACAAACTTTTAAAAAACAAGAACTACTGATACAAACTAGAACAATTCCATGCATCCCCGTAAGCATGCATGTGAACTACGTCATGGCACTTAGTGAAATTACCAAGTTGTGAGTTTTTGAAAGGAAGAATGCAACTGAAAAGCAATTTATAATCTAAAACAGTTTTTAAACTAAATTAGCATGTTCCTGAAAAAAATCTGCATTAATTTATTTAAATTATAAGCTTGAAGCTACAGCAATCACTAATACATTCTAAACCAACTTTGCAATAAACCTCAACAGGTTAATCTCACATAACTGATTTAAATGCAGAAACAATTTTAAGCTTTTAAGTTACTGATATCTGGAAAAACAAATGAAAAAACAGTCATATGAAAAGAATTATGTAAAGTATGCATTTTTATGTTCAATTTGGACTATCTTAGTTTAATAATTTATACACATCAAAAAGTGATAAAAGAGGATTTTGATGGTGTTTTCAGAATAAAGTATAATAGGCAATAATAAAGAATTAGAGAAAAATTGGCCAAAAATCATGAATAGGGAATAATGGGATGTTAAGAAATAAAGATGGAGAAAATTAATACAGAATTACGAAATACAAATCATTAAGGAACTATTTTTGACTCGAAGGGACATGTTTTCTACCGTATATTGACAATATTTTGTACAATAAAAAGAATATTTGTTTGGCTCATTCAAAATCATATTGCTTCCTAAATAATATACAATGATATTTTGTTTAAAAATTGTAGTTTGATTCCATTTTTAACACTTTGTAGTCTGCCCTGAATAGATTTATTTTCTGAGACTGAACTGGGAAGCACATTTGTTTTCATGTTTTACACATGAGTACCAGTTGAGCATTCTTCTACATGTTTATTAACTTGATAAAATAAGATTTAATAGTTACAAATAATCATAATTCAACAATTTATAATACAACAGAAAATTTCATAACCTCAACCATCCGATTAAATTACAGAGAAACTGAAAACAAGAGTCGAGTACTGACATTTGTTGTCAGTTCAAACTTAAGTAACATCTTACACTTAGGTAAAAATCTGAAGAAATTGTGGCGACTTATATAAAACAGAAGTACTTATAGTGTGAAAAACTAAAATTACTAATTTGATAGTGTTTTGGTTCTATAGTTTATTGTTATTAAGAATTCCAGTGCTTTATAAAAAGTTGTCATGAATATGACAGTTGTTTTATAATATGTCATTTTAATGCTGTTTGGTTCTTTAAAATAAAAATCTATAGTCTCTAGCACTTTTAGAAATAAATCGCAGTGAAAAGAACATGTTACATTATAAACAAAAGAAAAATTGCTAAAAACAAAAATATTATAACACAGTTAGAACAATTATGTCCCTTCTTTTAAATAATCAAAGTGTCATTTGGTATTCTGGGTTGGATTAGACTAGCTAGGCATTTGTTCTTGTGAATCGTAACAATTTAATCCTAGTGTGGTTCCTAGACATGTTTTAGTAGAATATTGCAATAGAAAATTGAGCTTATTTTATTGTTATATTCATGTTGTGGCCTTATCATTTTGTAAAAACCTTGTATTTAAACAGCATTCTTAAGTTTATAATATTTTTTAGAATAAATTTTGGTTTTAAAGAAATAAGCTAATAATTTTTTCCACATGTAAATCTATCTGAGCAGCAATTGCATAAATGATTAATTACTTCTTTAGATTTTTGCTTTAAAGATAAATTGATACAGCAGCAAAGCTTCAAACCTTCCTAGTAGTAAATATGGTGTATAAATAAAATGCCAGCAAACATGACACACATGTTATAAATATTCTTTACCAGGGACCGAATATTTTGGGATGCAAAATTTTAAAAATCTCTGGCTAAAATTGTTGAATTTCGACCTTTACTTAAAGAGGGAACAACCAAATAGATTTAGTACAATGACTTATACTGAAATGGAAAAGCCGTAACAAAGCAGTCAAGATTTTTTTTCTCAATTCCAAATTATAACATTGTTTCCTTCTATAAAATGCATTAAAAATAAGTGCCTGCAAAGCAAAACAAATATTAAAGGAGCATGAAGTTTTTTTTTTCATTTAACATTTTAAATTTTGTACTGAGAGTAACTTATTAAAGTTATTAATTCATCAAAAACATTTTATTGAATTCAAAAGAATACTCCAGACTATAATTTCTACAACCAGTTACTCTTAGCATTAAAAGAGGGACGAAAGATACCAGAGGGACAGTCAAACTCATTGATCGAAAACAAACTGACAACACCATGGCCAAAAACAAAAAGACAAACAGACAAATAATAGTACAGATGACACTAAGGGTTATTGAAATAAAAGTTAACCCTGAAAACTATTGATAGATGAAACAAAATGCATTGCTGTATTTTTCTGTGAAGTTTATATATATAAGTAAAATACAAATTTTACAACTGGAATTAAACAACAATAAATCAACAACAATATTACAAAAACATTTAAATTTTACATTTCTTTCTTTTAAAGATAAACAAGAGTGCACACGCTGAAATGTCTCGCCTTCTTTACTAATCATTGATATTATGTTGATAGTCCTAAATATAAAGCTTTATTACAACTGTCACATAAACTTAACATTAACAAAGTAAACTAAACATTGACCAATGAACAATGAAAATGAGGTCAAGGTCAGATGAACCATGCTAGGCAGGCATGTACAGCTAACAATTCTTCCATACAACAAATATAGTTGACTTATTGCTTATAGTTTAAGAAGAAACAGACCAAAACACAAAAACTTTACCCTGAGCAATGAACCTTGAAAATGAGGTCAAGGTCAAATAAAACCTGCGTGACTGCCAAATAGATCATAAAATATTTCCATACACCAAATATAGTTGAACTATTGCATATAGTATTAGAAAAAAAGACCAAAACTCAAAAAACTTAACTTTGACCACTGAACCATGAAAATGAGGTCAAGGTCAGATGACACCTGCCCGCTAGACATGTACACCTTACAATCATTCCATACACCAAATATAGTAGACCTATGGCATACAGTATAAGAAAACAGACCAAAACACAAAAACTTAACTATAACCACTGAACCATGAAAATGAGGTCAAGGTCAGATGACACCTGCCAGTTGGACATGTACACCTTACAGTCCTTCCATACACCGAATATACTAGACCTATTGCTTATAGTATCTGAGATATGGACTTGACCACCAAAACTTAACCTTGTTCACTGATCCATGAAATGAGGTCGAGGTCAAGTGAAAACTGTCTGACGGGCATGAGGACCTTGCAAGGTACGCACATACCAAATATAGTTGAACTATTGCATATAGTATTAGAAAAAAAGACCAAAACTCAAAAACTTAACTTTGGTCACTGAACCATGAAAATGAGGTCAAGGTCAGATGACACCTGCCCGCTAGACATGTACACCTTACAATCATTCCATACACCAAATATAGTAGACCTATGGCATACAGTATAAGAAAAACAGACCAAAACACAAAAACTTAACTATAACCACTGAACCATAAAAATGAGGTCAAGGTCAGATGACACCTGCCAGTTGGACATGTACACCTTACAGTCCTTCCATACACTGAATATACTAGACCTATTGCTTATAGTATCTGAGATATGGACTTGACCACCAAAACTTAACCTTGTTCACTGATCCATGAAATGAGGTCGAGGTCAAGTGAAAACTGTCTGACGGGCATGAGGACCTTGCAAGGTACGCACATACCAAATATAGTTATCCTATTACTTATAATAAGAGAGAATCTAACATTACAAAAAATCTTAACTTTTTTTTCAAGTAGTCACTGAACCATGAAAATGAGGTCAAGGACATTGGACATGTGACTGACGGAAACTTCGTAACATGAGGCATCCATATACAAAGTATGAAGCATCCAGATCTTCCACCTTCTAAAATATAAAGCTTTTAAGAAGTTAGCTAACGCCGCCGCCGCCGTAGCCGCCGGATCACTATCCCTATGTCGAGCTTTCTGCGACAAAAGTCGCAGGCTCGACAAAAATTATGATTTAACAATACTATGATGAAATTAGCTTCTTGATATGTTCTTTATGAAAGATAAATCAACTGTAGATAAATTTGTTCTGTTCTATTTTGAGGACATGGATGAATCTTATCCTGTGATATCGATATTTGCAAAGGTTCGATTATACCAAATTCATGGCAATTTCTATGAAAAATAGGTTGACTATAAATATTAATGTTTACTAAATATAATTTAAGAATTAAGAAGACAAAGTTTCTGTCTATCTTTATTTCTAAAACCTTAACCTTATCTTATTGTTATTTCCTGAACAAGAAAGCCGATGTATCTAACATCAACAATTTCTTTGAAGGTCTACTATATATGTGGGTCTAAATATGTTACTTAATCACATATCTTATCTAAATCAACAACTATCTGACATCAAATAATGGTGATTAAAAATTATAGTCCAAAGCAAAGTGTTTTCGATTTAAATCATTTATTATTTTTCAAAATCTCAATACAAAAAAACAAAAGTTTGTGATAATAACAAATGTCACGCCCAGAGAAACCAATAATTTAAAAAAAAGAAAAAACAAGTGAAAACTGTAGAATGTTACCTTTACAAAATCTTATTAAAAATTAAGAAAATAATAATTTATCACATAATTTTATAAGGTAAGTTTTGTGTATGTTTTTCTTTTAAGCTTTTAAGCATGACACAAAAATAATGAACTTTAGTCATGTGACCTATTTGCCATAATACCCTGAATTGTATATCATTGTATATGTAGTAGAAGTATACATGGGCAGTGATTTATATGAACATAAAAATTTTATATTTAATGACCTACCACAAAAAGAACAAAATTTACCAGTTTTGTGGTATTTGATAAAACAGATAAAATTTCAATAACATACATCGGTGGGCAATACAAAAATGAATAAACAAATTTCATAAACATGAATTTCATATAAAATTTCTTACAGAAAATTCAAATAGTCTTATAACTAGCATAATAATTTACTATAATATCCTCGTCATATTTTCTTTAAAAATATATACTTTTACACTCCTTTAACTATATCTCATGTTATGACTTTTCTACAATTAAAATATGTGTACCGGTAAGCAAAATATAATTGTTTCAATATGTGCAACACTTGGTATTTTTGAGGTCATATGTCCACCTGTGAATGGAAAGAATAAGTCCCTAAGTTGGCATTTCATAAAATTTGTTGTCATAATTAAATCAACTGAATTTAAATTAGTCTGTTTATTCCTATCAGTCCTTCATGGAAATCAAAATATTTCATCCATGGAATTTTTCAATGATAATGGGAGATTTAAGGCTCAATTGTCAAGAGTAAATGGCACTGTTGTGTAAAGTTCATATGTTCAACCTATATTTTTTCATTATTTTGCCAGTGAGAAGGCAAATGGACAACTATTTTGACAGTTGCTGGCAGGATTATAAACAGTTCATACATAATGAATGCGAATACAAATAAAGCAAACTAAGGAATAAAATGTGTTAATAGTACTGGCCAATATATATTTTGTGGATTTCAAACTTTTCTGAACAGAAATCGATGTGTGTTTTTAATTCACAATAATTTTTTTTTCAGTTAAACAAAGCTATTCTACACATCTGCAAACAGACAAGGAAACTCTGATTAAAAGATTACTTGACCTGAAAAAATATGGAGCTAAATAACTTTTTCCTGTAGTCACAAATAAGATATAAGAAGCATAACTGCTTTGTTCACAAAAAAATACCCTGCTATCCTAATCATTTTGATTTTAGATACACTTACAGTTGACCTGAACAAAAAGAAAAGTTTTCAAGTTTTTTTTTTCATTTAAAATATCATGTTAACTCTTCCACAAAATTACTGTATACTTCTTTGTGATATTGAAAATCTTCATGCTCACAAAAGATCAAAATGCAGAAAGGCCAAACCACAAAGGACAGAGATTTATCTAAACTTGCAATTCTGTCAGTATTTTTCTTTGTCTCGCATGTTCAAAATTAAAATAGTTTTAAAAATGTTTTAAAATTATCACAAATGAGGTGTGTACACAGTTCATTCATGGATGAGATAGGAATATCTCAGTCCAAGGCAAACATTTGATATCATACGATATCAATTCAAATATAATAGATGAGAAACAGATATATATATTTCTATTATTCCTCTTTTCTATCTGAATCCTGTGATCAATAAAAGTTTAGTTTCAATCACACCATACACAGTCTTGTCATGTTAACTTCTCTAACTGGTTCCAGTTGATACCAGAAAAAAAGGGATGAGCCTTGATATCTTCACTTCCATTTATACCAGAACCCAGTCTTTCTTTAGGGTTGTAACATAATAACTGAAAAAGAAGAAAATCATAAATCTTAGAAAGTATAACAGTTCAAAATTACACAATATCAAAAGTACCATTCTTTCTTAATGTCATAAAGATATTAAAATGTATAATTCTGCATTCCCAAACATTTCAACAAACTATGAATACTGTAAAACATGAAAAAATTTTCTCGCACCATGATAAAAACTTACCTGATGTAATAAACCATGAGCCTCGGGAGAAACAGCGTTTGGGAGGTATAACTGTGTATGTGGTGTGATTCCTCCAGGGTGACTGCTTTTTAAACTCTGAAATGATAGAAAAATAAAAACTGTAATTCCAGAATTTATTGTGATGTTTTATAAATGCAAAAATGCAACAGTATCAAGTTCGCAGTAATAAAAGCTTCTATTCATAATTTCTGTACATGTATTGATTTTTCCTTCACAAAATGTTTGCAATCACATTAATTATCTCTCACATTTTAACAAGTAATCAGGAATTCACATGGATAAATGCATGCAATAATTAATGAATTTTCTGTAGATAACAAAACTCATCCTTTCTTTTGCCTATATCATCCTTCTCAGTTGTTCTGAAGTTTTCGTATCACAGCTTTGGGAGGTGAGCAGAACTTATCAGCAACGTGACAATGTCTGAGGAGAAGTTATCAGCAACGTCACAATGGGTGAGGTACAGATTATCATTTTTTTTATATGTAAATATAGTATAATATTAATATCTCGACACAATGTGAGGCTTTTTCCTAAACTACTTCTCTTAAAATTTTAAGACGATAAATTTATAAATACAAATACCAAGTATGCATAAGCTTAGTGCTTTGTCATTGGAGCTCTGGTGGATAGTTGTCTCATTGGCAATCATACCACATCTCCTTATTTTTATACAGGTAATAGTTATGATAACTGAGGAGTGAGACCTCCCAAAGAGACTTCTGTTTGGCTTTGAAAATATAAAAAAATATGCAGCCACATCTGGTTGGAATAGGGACATGAAATTGGAATCTGTAGGGAAAAAGTCACACTCTCTGCACTTTCAAAAACCATTGCTTTTTTGTCCCTATCCAATACACCCGATATTTCACTACCAATTCAAATTTTTCTGACCTTTATTTTTTAATTTACAGACTTTAAGAACCTAAATAATTTATTGTTAATTTGTTCTTTTCCTGATAATGCATTAAATAATGGATATATAGCAAAATAAATGGGGAATGTGTCCATGGGACACAGATGATGCCCCCGCTTGCATATCATATAAAGTTATAAAGGAACATAACTGAAGAACGGTAAAAGTGATGCTACCCAAATTTGTTATTGATCTGAGTTTTGTAGTAATAAGTATTGTGTATAAGTTTCATAATATTTGGTTGAGGCTAACTTAAGTTAGAGAACGAAAACGAAAAATTCAGCAATTTTTCCTTTTGTAAAGGGCATAACTCTAGAACGGTTAAAGTGACACCACCAAAATTCAAACTTGATCTGTATTTTGTGGTAATAAGCATTGTGTATAAGTTTCATAATATTTGGTTGAGGCTAACTTAAGTTACAGAATGGAAACGAAAAATTCAGCAATTTTTCAATTTTTAAAGAGGCTTAACTCTAGAACGGTTAAAGTGACGCCACCAAAATTCAAACTTGATCTGTATTTTGTGGTAACAAGCATTGTGTATAAGTTTCATAACATTTGGTTGAGGCAAACTAAAGTTAGAGAACGGAAACCAACATTGGGATGTACGTACGGACGGACATACAAGGGTAAAACTTAATGCCCCCTCCGCAACGGCGGGGGCATAAAAACAATCAATCAAGCATATACATTACTGGTTGAGTGATTGATTGATTAGTGTCTAATGCCACTTTCAACACTTTTGTGCTATTTCGTGGACGTCAGTTTTTATTGGTGGAGGAAGCTAGAGTGCCTGTAAAAAAATCAACTGACCTTCGGTAGGAAAACTGACAATCCTAGTCAATAGAGAATAGACAACCTGAGTGAACAGTTGTTCGCTGCCATAGACCACTCTGCAACTGAGGCCCCATTACTGGTGGAAAATATCTGTTTATTAATTTTTACCTAAATGATATTTTTTAGTATATACATTCATAGACTTAACAAACTTTCCCTACACAACTAGTTCATACAATAAAGTACCCACACTCCACCACTCACCAGTCACACACTTACCCTACACACATAACTAGTTCATACAATAAAGTACCCACACTCCACCACTCACACACTTACCCTACACACATAACTAGTTCATACAATAAAGTACCCACACTCCACCACTCACACACTTACCCTACACATAACTAGTTCATACAATAAAGTACCCACACTCCACCACTCACCAGTTACACACTTACCCTACACATAACTAGTTCATACAATAAAGTACCCACACTCCACCACTCACACACTTACCCTACACATAACTAGTTCATACAATAAAGTACCCACACTCCACCACTCACACACTTACCCTACACACATAACTAGTTCATACAATAAAGTACCCACACTCCACCACTCACACACTTACCCTACACATAACTAGTTCATACAATAAAGTACCCACACTCCACCACTCACCAGTTACACACTTACCCTACACATAACTAGTTCATACAATAAAGTACCCACACTCCACCACTCACACACTTACCCTACACATAACTAGTTCATAAAATAAAGTACCCACACTCCACCACTCACCAGTTACACACTTACCCTACACATAACTAGTTCATACAATAAAGTACCCACACTCCACCACTCACACACTTACCCTACACATAACTAGTTCATACAATAAAGTACCCACACTCCACCACTCACACACTTACCCTACACATAACTAGTTCATAAAATAAAGTACCCACACTCCACCAATCACAAACTTACCCTACACATAACTTGTTCATACTATAAAGTACCCACACTCCACCAGTCACACACTTACCCTTCATATAACTAGTTCATACAATAAAGTACCCACACTCCACTAGTCACACACTTACCCTACACATAACTAGTTCATACAATAGAGTACCAACACTCCACCAGTCACACACTTACCCTACACATAACTAGTTCATACAATAGAGTACCAACACTCCACCAATCACACACTTCTGTGTAGTTACCAATACCATTTACCTCTGAAAAACAAATAATCATAAATCATACATATCACTTGCAGCTAGACTGGGTAAAGTCAATTTTTTTCTATTGAATTCCATATTGATAATATGAATTCCTTTTTTTTCGTGGATACTGATTTTCGTGGATAGAGGAAAAATTGTACTTATCGTGGATATTCGATTTTGTGGTTTTCCAAAAGCCTATAGAAAATTTGTACTTAATTCAACATTTAAATTTTTAGTAAACTTATACCAACGAAATCCACAAACACAGGTATCCCACAAATAATTATGAATCCACAGTAACCATGACAAGCATTTTAAAACCCCCAAAAAGTGTATATATATATATATAACAACGATTCAATGTCAGTATAGTAAACTCAAGACAATTAGTTGGTCTTAAACCTCTTGTCAATGAATGGAACTTTGCACATTCAATCACACATGGAAGTAAATGTGAAGGCCATTATGCATGGGAGCCCAATATTGGTGACTTAAAGTTTTAAGAATTGAATAGGCAAAGGTTTAGTCTGAAATTTTTTTTTGTTTCATTAAATTTCTCTCTTTTTTTTTAAGTAATTGGTCTCAAAAATACTCTTCAAATTTCAACAGATTCCTTTTCTAGAGCTTTGAATTTTTTTTAGTGTCATTAACCTTTTTACTAGAAATAATAGGGTTCTACTTACCTGGAGCTACATAAAGCTGGTCTTCTGCTTCCTGGTTTAGTATTCTGTCTGTTAAACTAATCTGACAGAAATATGACAATAAAATATGTCCATTTTCTCCAAGTAAAATGTTGTCTGGCCTTAAATCTCTGTGGGTAAAAACGAAAGATGCAAGATTTACCTATTTTGGCTAAAACTGTATGTCATGTATGTAGAATTGAATTTAATAAGTAAAAATGTTTTAATGGAAATATCACTTAATTTAAAGGGGGAAAAACTACCATTCTGATATGTAACATCAATTAAGATAATATACAGGAAATCTACTTTTGCAATGTTTTAAAAATTTTATTAAATAAAATGATTTATTTCAACCATGTCACGACTGTAAAGTTTAAATGTTAAGGAATCTATCAAAATAAACAGAAAAAATTAAAACAGCTCTCTTTACCATGTTTTACATTATACTGACCTGCAAATTAACCCCTCAGCATGTAACCTTGACACAGCAATAACAATCTCTGCTATCCACTGTCGAATACATGTCTCAGGTAATCTGACCTGTTCAGGACTTGACATTGCTAAATCTAATTGTCTGAAAACATCTGACAAAGTTCTCTGTCTTGTTAAATTTGGAGATTTTAATTCATGTTCAAATGATGCCGAACGGCTAAGTTCTTTAGAATTCATCCTGGAAAGTTTTTGTGGCTTTGACTTTGATTGATCAGTCAGTGTTGATGACCTTGAAGTTTTTCTACTTCCTGTTTTATCAGATAAAGTATCTGATGATGAAGATTTCACTGTACCACTTCTATTTTTAGATTCTGAATCACATGGTTTACTTTCATTATCACTATTTGTGTCTGAGAATGACCTATTTACATCATATATACTGACTTCATTATGATCGGTCAATGTATCACAGCTGTCGTTAAGTTGATCTTTATCAGGTGAAAGGTTTTTATTTACAACACTGTCCGGATAAATACATTTGTTAACCTCTGTATCAGTTTGTGACAATGTTCGTTCAACTGTTCTAAGTAAATCTTTGGCATTTTGAACAATGGCTTCTGCTTCCTCATCTACACCAGAACTTCCTGAATCAGAACGGTGCAGTACAACAGGATCAGAATTATTTTTCTCATTAATTTGCTGTCCATCAAAAACATTATCACAGTTAACAGGTTGATCACAGTTGTTAATCGGTGGCTGGTGGACTATATCTTCTTCGATATGGCTATATAATTGGTGGGTAGGAGATAACTCACTTTCTTCAGGAATACTCTCAATATTTATATTGTCAGATATAATACTATCCACCCGAGGTCTACCTTCATTACTTTCAATACTATTAATGCTAAAATTTTCTAAATTTGTCTGATTACTGTTAAGCAGTAATTCCTGAAATACATCTTCCTGCTGTTCTGACATTTTTGATGCTTCATTAAAATCTACAATTTCTTCTGATGACATACTTTCAATACGACTCAAATCTGGTTTATCGGACCCATTATTGTTGGTTTGGTCGTCAGACATATCACTAATGTCACTTATATTATCTGAAAGTTTGTTTTCCTCAAATTTATTAAGACAAGATTCATTGTCAAACTCTGGACCATCATCTAATAGCTCGTCAGAAGGAACGTTTTTTATTTGATCATTTTCTACTTCCACTTTGTCCTTATCCTTTGAAGAATTTGTATACACATTGAATCCAGAATACACATTTGTGGAAGGTGAAGGAATATTATCAACATTCATGGAGGAATTTGTTTTATTGCATTGTAGGTATTCTCCGATATAATTCCATAGTTTTCCTCCTGTCGCATGCTGTAGAATTAAATAAACAGTATTTTCTGTTTCATAAAATTTATGTAAATGGACCATGTATGGACATGATATAGGCATTATTGTCCTATAGTATTTGCTGCACACACTTGATTTATGTATTGTCTGAAATGCAAAGAAGGCATAATAAACAAATTGAACTGCATATATCAAGCCAGTATAACTTGCACATGCTGAGAAAAATGACACAAAAATTGTGTTTAAGTATGGGAGAACATGATTTATTTATTTATTCTTATATCAGTGCTTTGCGACTATTGTTTTCATGTTAGTTGTTTTTTGTGCTCATACTGATCTATTGACTTAAGCCATTTGCAACAAATATTTAAAGTGTGTTCTTATGTTGTGCTGTTATACACGGCCCCTTTATTAAGGGGAGGGTTGCACGCTCACAAACATGTTAAACCCTGCCACAATCTTTCTGTGACTGTCCCAAGTTACGAGTCTGTAACTCAGTAGTCGTTGTTGTTGGTTGCTGTTTGACATTTCATTTTTTTTCATTTATTGATTTGTTGTAATGGCCCTTGGTTTTTTCATTTTAATTGTTTCTCATTTTGTAAGGTCTGGGCCTTTTATAGCGGACAATGATCTGGTATAGATTTGCTTTTTGTTGAAAGCCATAAAGTAACCTATAGTTGCATAAATCCAGGTTATTTTGGACAACAGTGAGTAGTTGTCTCATTGGTAATCATACCATATCTCCTTATTTCATTTTTAAAATAAATAGATATCGAGATGTCGTTTATATGTACCTAAACTTTACAGGTTATAAGTTCCTAATTAATTCAGATTTTGTGCAATGTTATATTTTTATAATAATAATAACCTCATACAAGTACATGAAATTCTCTATGTTAAAAATACCTTGATAACATAAGTTTCATCTGATGTTTTATCCATCACCAGTAAAACTTTGTCTATAGTTCCCAAAACTTTTAAGTTCTTCATTTCAGAGATAGGTGCTTTAATTAGGTTCAATGTTGGGTCAAGGTCACCAGATGGAGACAACATATTGTCTGCAGTCTACAAGAATAAAATGTGTAATCTTCATACAATAAATTCATAAATTAATATACATTTAATAATGTCAACTGTCAAAGTTGAACTCTCATTAATCTAAGGTAAACTCATTAAATCAAGCTATGTTGTCTGAGCAATTGTATTATTCAGAAAAATATTGAAAGAGCTTGTGATAAATCAAAATAGAATTAAACATGTGAAAGTAAATTGATTATATTGCCTAACAAGATTTTGTGAGGTAGACGAAATTGACCTTAAAATAGTCGTATTGGATTTTGATGTCCAAAAATAGGCAGATCGGACATATTTTGACTTTATATACTGACTACTTTTGTTGGGCATTAATTTTAATCATAGTAATATAATAAGACTGAAAAATGTTTGTTTTTGTAAAGATAAACAATAATTTTACCTGGAGTAGTCTTGCGTAAAATGTATTTCTGCATTTCTCTTTGAAAAATGACTTGTTTAACTTTCTCTTTTTTCCCTTGAATAGGCTATTAAAAAATAATTTATCTACTCTGTGTGTGGAAAATTTTGTGAAAATATAAGAAGTGGCAATTCTTACCTTTCATACCTTTAGTTTCATTGATAAAAAATAATATGGACTCGTCCAGTGACCAGTTTGAAGGTAATTTAAGTTACTGTACGTACACATTCATGCACGTTCTGATTTAATCAATATACATGTATGAAAAAATTAACAGTTTGAAGGTAAACTAATAATAACTTAATTCATCAAATTGAATAAGACTCAATAACAATGGCCGGTCCACATCATAATAAGTAATAGGGGTAAACTAGGTAGGGAGAAAATTACAGACATTTTAAGTTCATTTTTTGCAATTACGAATAAAAATATGTCAACCAAAAGTTTTGTTATAATTTCAAAAACATGTCGTTCTGTATTGTTATAGTTTTCGATCTTCTTTATTTGTGTATTTAAGGCAATAAAAATTATTTTTTCAAATACTGCAAAAAATTTCATTCTGATTGGTTTCGTGGTATTGTCATAAAGTGAGTTCAAATGAACGGTGGTATAGCAAACATTGAATTCCCTCACAAAATGTTATCACACACTATAACATATGAATTGTTTTTGCAAAAATCTGCATAATCAAGATTGTTTCTTGCTGTTTAAGGTTGCAATTCTGTAAATATAGACAATGCAATTTCCCATAGGAACTCCCTTTGCGGCTAAAACTGTGACACTTTTACTATGAAGTTTCGTGAAAAATAATATCCCAGAACGGAAAGTTTATATGCACTACTATTTTATTCAAAGGTCAAAATATAGGGCTGTGCAGCATATTTTCATAATTTATATGCCCTGAACTTCTAAGAGTTTAAACTTATACTAAAATTCTATACTACCCTTACCTTCATATTTGGAACTCCTAAGAATTAAAATTTAGGTGCTACCATATTTTTCTATACTAGTTACATTCCCAAGTGATGTCTCTATGAGATGAAACACAGAGATCATAAATGGGAACCAGTACATTAACAAATTAACATATCTATGAATATTATATATCTCCCCAAAAGAGGCGTGGTTCGAGAAACAGCTGTATTTACAAAGTGCAACCTTAAGTCATCAAGAATAAATTTTTATTAAAGTATTTCCAAAAGAAATTTATTATTTGTGATAGCATAAGGAGAACCAATTCTAGTGTCATTAAATCCCTTTCTCCACTGTTGTAAAGTAAAAATGTCCTGTAAAAAGTTTCTGATTGTTTATTGACAAAAATACCCTTATTTTCTTTGAAGAAAAAAAACACTGCTATGCCATACTGCAGCTCATGTGTTTGTTCCTTTTTTTTTCTACCTTTTCCACATCAGCACATCTTCTAGGTTGTTCACTCAACTAATTCTACTGAGTAGACATGAAGTTTCCTTTTATTTTATTTAAAAACTTGCAAGTACAAAGCACTTACATAAGGAGATAAGTTTTTTTATCTATGTAAAATTACTGATTGATTGTTGGTGTTTTAATCCACTTTCAGCACTATTGGCTATATCGTGTAAGCCAGTTTCTATTTTGATGGAGGAAGCCGGAGTGCCCAGAGAGAACCACCAACTTATGGCTGGAAAACTGGCAATCCTAGTCAATTAAGATTGGGGTCGAACACCCTGCCATTTTCAGGGTTCGAATTCACAACCTCAGTGTTGACAGGCTAGTGAAACTGTAGACAAACTAATTAGACCACTCAGCCATCAAGGCCCCTTTGTAAAATGAGATATAATCTTGAGTGAACATGGGTGTTGAACCCACTGTGGATGAGTGGATTATGTAAATTACATGTGAACCGTACTTACCGACCATCTATTATCATCTACTGTATCATTCGCCAGATGTCTGTTGTACAGATCTTCTGCTTTCATCAAATACTGTGCTGTCTTCCTGCGGACAGCATCCCTCCTTGCTTTATTCTTGTCAGCTGTTAATTATAAATTATAAATTTTATCTTTACACAAATGAAAGTGAATTTACTTTAATTTCTTTTCAAAATACTTTTGAAAGACCAATAAATACCCTTTTCTAATCGTTTTTTCCATAGCAAATATTACTGGATGTGCTCTTGTCAAATAAAAACAAGTGAAACTGCCAGCTACTGCTCACTGATGATACCCCCAGCCCAATTATGCATTTGTTGTTGAGTGATGAATCTGAAAAAGCATCACACGGTATCGCTGACTTATATAAACCCTGAAACCAAATTTCAGAAATCCTTATGATGTAGTTCCTGAGAATGATGCGACGAAAGATATTCATGGGACGGACGGACAAATGGATGGATGGACGGACTGAAGGACAGACAGAGGTAAAACAGTATACCCCCACTTTTTTAAAGCAGGGGTATAATTATAAATTATGGAATTTCCACTTTATTGAGGTACTTATGAAAAACCATTTTATCCAGTTGTTTTCAATTCAAATAGGATGGTAAAGAAAAATTAATCAATAAATCAATAAAATGCTTCGCTGAGCACAGCCTGATACGACCGCAGAGGTCGAACCCTGAACAGTTGGGGCAAATTCGGACACAATATTCAAGCTTGATACTGTCTGAATTTGGATTGTGATCAAATTTTTGACATAATATAGGTTTCTGACACAAAATAAATGTGGTCAAAGATCTTACAAATCTATTGCGCAATACTGTGCAATTGAAGATTTCTTCTTGAAACTTTTAATAAAATGCTTCGCTGGGGCGCAGCTTGATACGACCGCAGAGGCGAACCCTGAACAGTTGGGGCAAGTATGGACACAACATTCAAGCTTGATACAGCTCTGAATTTGGATTGTTATTAAATATTTGACACAGCATAGGTTTCTGACACAGAAAGAATGTGGTCTAAGAACTTGAATTTTTTTAATTTACCTATTATGGTCCAATGTCCAAAATCAAAATACATGGTTAGATTCAGCATATCAAAGAACACCATATATTCAATTTTTGTTAAAATCAAACAAAGTTTAATTTTGGACCCCAACTTGGACAAACTTGAAAACTGGGCCCATAATCAAAAATCTAAACACATGTTTAGATTCAGCATATCAAAGAACCCCAAGAATTCAATTTTTGCTAAAATCAAACTAAGTTTAATTTTGGACCCTTTGGACCTTAATGTAGACCAATTTAAAAAACGGGACTTAAAATTAAAAATCTAAATACACGGTTAGATTTGGAATATCAAAGAACCCCAATAATTCAATTTTTGATGAAATCAAACAAAGTTTAATTTTGGACCCTTTTGACCTCAATATGAACCAATTTGATAGCGGGGCCCACAAATAAAAATTCTAAATTCATGGTTAGATTCAGCATATCAAAGAACCCTATATATTCAATTTTTGTTGAAATCAAAAAAAGTTTAATTTTGGACCCCAACTTGGACCAACTTGAAAACTGGGCCCATAATCAAAAATCTAAATACATGTTTAGATTCAGCATATCAAAGAACCCCAAGAATTCAATTTTTGTTAAAATCAAACTAAGTTTAATTTTGGACCCTTTGGACCTCAATGAAGACCAATTTAAAAAACGGGACCCAAATTAAGAATCTAAAAACACGGTTAGATTTGGCATATCAAAGAACCCAAATAATTCAATTTTCGATGAAATCAAACAAAGTTTAATTTTGGACCCTTTTGACCTCAATATGAACCAATTTGATAGCGGGGCCTACAAATAAAAAATCTAAATACATGGTTAGATTCAGCATATCAAAGAACATCATATATTCAATTTTTGTTGAAATCATACAAAGTTTAATTTTGGACCCCAATTTGGACCAACTTGAAAACTGGGCCCATAATCAAAAATCTAAATACATGTTTAGATTCAGCATATCAAAGAACCCCATATATTCAATTTTTGTTGAAATCAAACAAAGTTTAAATACTGGACCCTATCTTGGACCAACTTGAAAACTGGGCCCATAATCAAAAATCTAAACACATGTTTAGATTCAGCAAATCAAAGAACCCCAAGAATTCAATTTTTGTTAAAATCAAACTAAGTTTAATTTTGGACCCTTTGGACCTCAATGTAGACCAATTTAAAAAACAGGACCCAAAATTAAGAACCTAAATACACGGTTAGATTTGGAATATCAAAGAACCCCAATAATTCAATTTTAGATGAAATCAAACAAAGTTTAATTTTGGACCCTTTTGACCTCAATATGAACCAATTAGATAACGGGGTCCACAAATAAAAAATCTAAATACATGGTTAGATTCAGCATATCAAAGAACCCCATATATTCAATTTTTGTTGAAATCAAACAAAGTTTAATTTTGGACCCCAATATGGACCAACCTGAAAACTGGGCCAAAAATCAAAAATCTAAATACATGTTTAGATTCAGCATATCAAAGAACCTCATATATTCAATTTTTGCTAAAATCAAACAAAGTTTAATTTTGGACCCTTTGGACATTAATGTAGACCAATTTGAAAACTGGACCCAAAATTAAAAATCTAAATACCCTGTTAGATTCGGCATAACAAATAAATAAATGTGATCAAAGATTTTACAAATCTAATGCGCCATACTGTGCAATTAAAGATTACTTCTTGAAATTTTTCAATATTTGAAATTTGAAAAAAAAATAATATTTGAAGAATAATTTTTTTTAATTTCTGAAATCTGAAATGAGAAAAAATTGGCCCCCCACAATTTCTTTTTATCCCCCCCCCCCTTTTCCCCCCAAAAAAATTCTTTCCCTCAAGATATGGTCATAATCTCAATTCAAATTTCCAATGGAGTTGGCAACCATAATTACCCATTTAAATTTACCATAGTGCTAACTTAATCTATTTTATAATAGAATTAATAAAAATATAGTGTCAAATCTTTCATATGGATTTTTTTGTAAAAAAAAAAGATGAAAACATTTGCAGATATTTTTACTGGTTTTCCTTTATAAATATGCATTTCTTTAAACATAATTTAAAAGCAGAGTAAGGGAAGTAACCAAAACGTTGTATTTCAATTTCCTCCCTTACACTGTTTTAGATTATCTTTATTGTTCATTAACCATTACTTTATACATAATTTAAAAGCAGTGTAAGGGAGATAATTTCAATGATGTATTTGATTTATCTCCCTTACACTGCTTTAAATTATGTTTTGTACTAAAGTATTTGTCCATTAACCAGGACAACCTTGTTTTTCCCCCTTTTTTGCCCCTAATTCCTAAACGGTTTGAGCCATAACCCCCCAAAGCAAATCCTAACCATCCCTTTGTGGTATGGAAACTTGTAGTATAATTTCAGAGAGATCCATACACCGTTCCACAGTTATTGTCTGGAAACTAGAAAATGCTCATTTTTGGTCCCTTTTTGGCCCCTAATTCCTTAACTGTTGGTACCATAACCCCCAAAATCAATCCCAACCTTCCTTTTGTGGTATTTAACCTTATGGTCAAATTTCAAAAAGATCCATTCACTTAAACTAAAGTTAGAGTGCGAAAACCAATATGTATTCGGACGACGACGCCGGACGACGACGACGACGACGACGCCAACGTCATACCAATATACGACCACAAAATTTTTTTGCGGTCGTATAAAAAATTCGAAATTTGAAAAATTTTGAAAAAAAAATATGAATCCTTTAAAAAAATTGTAAACAAAAAATCCCCCCCCCCCCCCCACTTATTGAAACCCCCCTTGGAGCAATAACCCCAAAACTCAATCCCAGCCTTTCCTTTGTAGTATAATTTCAGAGAGATCCATACACTTAAACACAAGTTATTGTCTTGAAACTAGAAAAATGCTTCTTTTTGGCCCTTTTTTGGCCCCTAATTCCTACATGTTTGGGGCAATTAACCCCAAACTCAATCCTAGCCTTCCCTTTGTTATATGGAACCTTGCGGTACAATGTCTGAGAGATCCATACACTTACACACAAGTTATTGTCCTGAAACTAGAAAAATGCTTGTTTTTGGCCCCTTTTTGGTCCTTAATTCCTAAACTGTTTGCCCCATAACCCTTAAAATAAATCCGAACCTTCTACTTATAGTATTAAACATTGTGGTACAATTTCAGAGCAATTGAAATACTTATACACAAGTTATTGTCCTGAAACTAGATAAATGCTTGTTTTGGGCCCCTTTTGGGCCCCTTAATTCCTAAACGGTTGGGACCATCATCCCTAAAATCAATCCCAATCTTCCTTTTGTGGTATTGAACCTTCTAAAAAAATTTCATAGAGATCCATTTACTTAAACTAAAGTTATTGTCCGGAAACAAATGTGTCTTTTGACGACGACACAGACGACGAAGACGACGACAACATCATACCATTATATGATCCCAAAAAATTTTTTGCCGTCATATAAAAATGGTCCTATACATATTGAAATAAATGTGTATTGGAAATTGGTGTGGGAATAAATGTTCTTTTTCTCCATTACAGTTTTTGTTGAGTTCCTGTTGCACAATTTTGAGGTTTCTTCTGTATTTTAACTGATATGAACTGTTCCAAGGACTTTTATGTTTAAATATGACAGGCCAGAATAGTTTACTAATACACAAGTTTTATTATTCCATGTTTTAAACAAATGTTCACTGACTAATTATATAATAGGGTTAAAAGAGTTGATAGACTATTTTTCTAATGCAATATTTTGGAAATGCATTTACTTTCAAAAATTTGAAATTTCACTAACAAGCATGACATTTTGTTTTTGAAATCAAATGAATTTTGCAGACCTATGGGCTGAGAATACCTTAAAGCAGACAATTTTATTTTAGAGAGAAAAAACAGTTGAATAAAAACCTAACAAAAAAATCTCCACATCTTCATGTTTTCATATCTCAATTCTTACTTTGTACACCCTGAAGAAGTATTCCAACACCACTCTTATAATAAGAAAATGCCAGCTCAAATTTAGAACTGGCTTCACATTCCTGTGCCAAGCATATCTGATCAGCAGCACAATAGATATAATCCTCCTTTCCACCAAGATCCATTGTTGATACACTTTCATTGGTTCCTGATCTAAATCGATGGGAGGGGCTTCGTTTTGATCCATGTCGTGGAGATGATGTTACACTTGATGTTCGACTAGAGGATGAGGATGTTCTACTGTGCCACGATAGGTCAAGGTCACCTTTACCACATTCAACAGAAGACAGAGTTCTAGGCTTTAATGGGTCAAAATCACTGAGATCTGGCTCTGTAGCTGTATTGGTATTAGTGTTAAGTTCAGATGAATGGTCAGGCAATGATTGAGTAAAATCTGACCTGTCCAAGTTCAAACTAGGGGGCTGAAGAAAAAAAACATAGTTTTAAAATAAAATTTGTAAAGGGTTCCGTGGAATCCTGTGTCTCACCTTCTGCCTGTGGAATCCAATCCTGTGTCTCACCTTCTGCTCTTAGTGTAAAATTGTAATGTTGAGATCACCCCAGGTTTTTAAGGGGTTTGTGTTGCTCAGTCTTTAGTTTTCTATGTTGTGTTTTGTGTACTGTTGCTTGTCTTTTGGTTTTTTGCAATGGCATTGTCAGTTTGTTTTATTGACTTATGAGTTTGAATACCTCTTTGGTATTTTTCGCCACTCTTTTGACTGCAAAAGTGTAATGTTGACTGTAAACAGTATGTCCATTTATCCTATAATGTTGTATCATAAGAGGGAGACTACTCTACTTAGCTTTCAGTGACATTGTTTGATATGTTATATATAATTTATATCATTATTTTGTACTGTTTTTGATGTCTTATATACTGGCATTACAAAGTAAAGTGCTGTTTTTATAGCATATTCTATATTTAGATTTCGTTATTCCACTGATAAAATTGAAATAGGGAGGCTTGAGTGCTTAAAAAACTAGTTTAACCTAGTAGTCTTTTCAAAACTCAGGTTGATTTACAGCTAGTCATATTGTATGAATACTTTGTCTATTATTGAACACAGTATATTGACCTTTAGTTTTCCTTTGATTTTTTTGGTACTGTTGAGTTGCTGTCTCATTGACATAAACATTCATTTTATTATTATGTCTCCCTTTACACCACTCTAATAAAATCTCGTCAAAACAGAACCTGCTTATCTCTTCAGTCAATCATTTTATATTTGTTTTGTTCCTTTTCCACTACACTCCCCCTTTTACAGTACCTGATTATCTTCATCATCCTGCTGTAATGGTACTTTACTAAATTCTTCTGTCTCATCTATACCTAGAAAATACAAAACAGTTTTGTTTTTTTTAATCATAAAAGACATATATCTCCTACATTTCCTTAAAAAAAAAGGACCAAAACAAAATTATCTGACTTACAAAAAACTTTGAAATGCACAATCAAATATATAAAGCTCAGTTCCATCCATCCCAAGAAAGGAGACTTGGATATAAAAATGTTCAAAAATGCAAAATTCCTTATTCCATGATTTGCTATGTAGGAATTATCTTAAATTTACCAGGAGTCGGCTTCACAAAAAAACTTACGACTAAGATTGATCGTAAGTCATGAACAATTCAGTATACTTACAATCAATCTTAGTCGTAAGTTTTTTTGTGAAACCGACTCCTGATTTGAAAATAAAATAGAATGTCCACAATAACTCTTTGTTTGAAGAAATTCTTTTAGAAGATTGATTCTATTACCGGAGTAGAGCTATCATTAACAGACTGTTGTGATGTACTATCAAAAGGTTGAACAGAACAAAACCAATATATCTTCCCATATATATTTGAGGGAGACGTAAAGTACCTGGATTCTCAATTTTTTTTTTACACCTATTACACATGCCTTCGGGTAAACAATGATATTGAAACCAAGTATTATAACAAAAATATATTATTTACATTTTTGAATAAATCCAAATATTTTCCTACAATATTTCTTCCATCATAAAGTTAATCAGGATAGAAACCATAAATGTATTTATCTTGTATATATCTGTAAAGCTAAAATGATCTCATAATCATGTAAGAATGTTATAGAAGTTGTTAGTAGTCTAAGACTAGGAGAGGCTAGGAAATATGGCTTCACATCTATTAAAATACTTTGAATAATTAATGGAGATTATTAGTATTCCTGTTCTAGGACATAAAAAGCAAGAACCTAGACTAGGGAAGGCTAGGAAATATGACTTAACATCTATTAAAATACTTTTAATAATTAATGAGGATTATTATATAATTAGTATTCCTGTTCTAGGACATAAAAAGCAAGAACATAAGACACAGATAGGTACACCATGTTTGAAAAGACTACTGAAAATTCTTATTAGACAACATATTGTACTTTCGCCAATGTCCCCAATGATAAAAATGAGTTCTTTAATTGTCAGTATTTGAATGACATCTCATTTATCAATATCAAATAAGGATGTATGGTATGATGAAGATGATTGCCAAGGAGACAATTATCCACCATAGATCAAAGGTAAACATACTGCCACCAAAAACTCCTTTTTATCTAGCTCTAAAGAATATCTGTCAATCAAAAACTGTAAAATAATAGTTTTTCCATGTTCCCCACTGTCTTTTTAGTTTCCAAAACAGTGCTCATTTAAACATTTGATATTATTTCAATAAAGAATTAAGAAGAATTTGTAGATATAGAGTGCTTACAATGCAATTTTTGTATGATTTACATTTCCAAGGGGCATAATTCCCATGAAAATAGTTGATCGCTTCTTATTTTCCAACTAATCAGACACATTACTAATATAAACTTCATAAAAATCTGACAGGAAATGTAGGCATAAGAGTGCTTACAAACCCAGATGGACTCTTAATTTATATTTATTCTTATCATGAGAATGAATGGCGACAAGTAGTTTGATCTTTAATCATGTAAAGAACTTTCAATGGTATTTTTAAATGATGTGTATTTACATGTTATGATTCCACATGGTTTTGTTAGTAAACTGGAAGGAAAGTTTAGTCATCTCATAGGGATTTTCCACTGAATACAAATCATCAGACCTGCCAACTTTCCAGATTTATTGGGGATTTACCCCATGAGCAAAACAACTCAAAACAGGCATTCACATGAGTTAGATTAATATCAAAACAACTAAAAACAGGCATTCACATGAGTTAGATTAACATCAAAACAACTCAAAACAGGCATTCACATGAGTTAGATTGCCATCAAAACAACTCAAAACAGGCATTCACATGAGTTAGATTGACATCAAAACAACTCAAAACAGGCATTCATATGAGTTAGATTGACATCAAAACAACTCAAAACAGACATTCACATGAGTTAGATTGACATCAAAACAAAACCATAGAATTAGATTAATAACACTTATGATACATGTATGTATAAGAGATGCATTTTGTTCTCTTTGAAGCCAAAAAAGTTAAAAAGTTGGCAGGTATGATCTGTAGAATCATCTGTATAATTTTTCTGTGTATAAAATATACAACTGATTCTAAATATAATGTAGCAGCTAATTACAAACTTGTTTAATTTACACTAGTTTAATACACTTGGTTAAATATCAAACTTCCTTGATGTGTTTTAAAAGCTGTAAAATTAAAAAAAAAAAACGCCAAACATTTGATATTTTTAAAATGTGTATATTTGGAAAATCTCTAATACAATTTAGATATACCTATAAGATCTCACCTTCTATGGTCTCAGAACTTGTACCTTGAAAGGGAATAATTGATAATTAATCTACAATAGGTATTGCTAGCTTCAATACCTTTAAGCCAAAGATCAATTTCTGATTTTTTTTTCTATTTCTACATACAACATTTCACTGGTTTCTGAGGAGTAGTGGATAAGGCATGTATTCCCTTTATAAATAAAGCTAGAGTCTCAATTTGGCTATAGGAAAGCAAAACAATCCATGGTATCAAATAATAAATTGATAAAAAAAAAGTTTCAGACATCAAACCAACAATGCAAATAAAAAATACAGTTACCGTACATGCAATATACAGTCAAACAGGTGTCTAAACAATATGTCAAGCTCTTAATCGTCTCCAGTCTAAATAATTGTGAATAACAGAAGCTATAATAAAAGATCTATCATGATGACATCATTACCATTTTCTCCAGATAGTTTTTAATGCCACACTTCCTGTTGGAGATTATGTTCAATTTTGATTGTTTCTTTCATTTCAGAGAAGATGGAATAAAACTAGATGTGTTGGAACGACACGAATGGCCCCTTCTCAAAAAGTTTTAAAATCTGCAATTTCAACAATACATGTGGACACAAACATGCATGGATAGTATCCAGCTCTCAAGACCAATACTAGTTTGATGAAAAATTTCCTTGATCAATGAGTAGTTAAATTTCAAACAATCAGCAAACAGGAAGTGGATGTACTGAAGATGTGTTGAAATGACATGAAAATCAGCATATCAGAACGAAACATAAACTTGATCTGTAACTCATCATGGTAGACTCACATATCAAAAATCAGCGCAAAATCTGAAGGTGTATAGAAAAAAAGTCTGTATAACTGTGATTTTTATCAATTTTCAAGTCAAAGTCCAAAACACGTAATTACCGCAAAAATCAGCAGAGCAGAACGAAACTTAAACTTGATCTGTAACTCATCATGGTTAACTCACATACCAAAAATCAGCCCAATATCTGAAGGAGTTTAGAAAAAAAGTTCCTATAACTGTGATTTTCAACAATTTGTCAAAGTCCAAAGCCCGTAATTTCGGCAAAAATTAGCAGAGCGGAACAAAACTTAAACTTGATCTGTAACTCATCATGGTAAAATCAGCCCAATATATGAAGGCGTTTAGAAAAAAAGTCTGTATAATGGTTTGTTGCGGAATGACGGAATGACAGAATGACGGACAAAGGGTAAAGCTATAAAGGCATTAAAATTAAAGTAAAATATTATAACAAGCAAAGTTAAAAAGCATTGATATTTTACCTGCACAAGTATCCATGGCAGCAAACAACCAACTACTACTGGTCTTCAGCCCTGGAGTTGGAGGTCCTAGGTCATCTGGTTTTAAAGGATCAAATGAAGTAATGTCCAGCTCAGGTAGTGAGGTACTTAGGATGGACTCAGCATCTATAGCTTCTGAATCATCAGTGTCATCAAAGGAGTTCAGACTGATGTTGTCAGGAACTCTAGGAAAATTCCATACTCCTTCTAAACTTTCATCTGTGTCCCTGTAATCAAAAAAAAAAATCAGTGCACAGCATTTTGTTAATTCAAACAGTATTCAGAATTGCTGATACAAGATCTATTTAAAAAATTGCTTAATTTCTAATCTAGTATTATTCTTTTTAAATTAAAATTATAAATTGGCTACTGACTACTACAGTCAAGGAAAAAGTTTAAAATTTTAAATCATTTTGAAATGGATGTAGCTATGTAACATTTCTATTTGATATCAACACATACCCATTCTCTTGTTGTGAACTGTTCCCATTAATGGTTTCTTCATCAGGAGGATGTTTGACAGGTTGTATAGGTTCAATCTCTTTCTTTTTATTATTCTGTGGATTTACTGACTGCATTATGTCCAGTTTTGAAGGTTTTAATACCTTACCAGATACTCCTTCTTTAACTTTTCCACCCTTTATAAAAGAAATAACTTAATGGTTTCATGATGACAAAATGTTTTACTCTGCATTTATAGAGCTGGGTGGATCGGTGGAATAATGGCATTATTTGACAAAGTTATAAACTATTTCCCAATATTGATACGATATTCCAGAACTTGTATTTCCATCTGAATTTCCTTGATAGAGGACTGCTACTTACATGGAAGGTACTGAAGCTAGGGTTCTTTATGGTTACTTAAAATCATCTCTTCACAAGTTTTAAGGACAACGTCTTCATGATTTGGTTGATTTTTATCAAACATCTTTGCCACAGAAGACCGATGGTATGTTCCATATGGCGTAGCTAAAATCTGTCCTTCTTTCAATAAATACAACTACCACTGAATGCAACTTATCCAACATGAGATACTTAAAAGGGGCCACTAGTGAAGCACGAACTGTTTTCCCACCCAGAACACCTGAGTCCAACCCTGGGTGGTGGCGTTCAATTTGCATAATTTGCGCTTTTGTATGTAGTTTTGTGGAATGTTGTCTATTTTTCTTTAAGCTACAGAGTTGTCTTTCTTTTGGTTTATAGTTTTTAATTTACCCTGGTATCTTTTTATTTTTTTGTACTCTTAATCACATATTTTCCATTATTAAAAAGTTGAGATATCACTCAACAACACAGGTACTTAAGATACTAGAATGCTATATTAAAATCATAAATATTACTGCATTGCAAATTTACTTTTTAGGGTTTTGATGAAAAGTTTGTCTTGTCTTAATACCTTAGTTAGTATTTATATCAGACAGCTAATAGCTCAGACTTTGATTATCATTATACAGAGCTCCCTAGTAAAACAGCCACTTATTTGAATTGGCAGGTTTTTTTTTGGCAATAAGCAAGGTTGGCAGATTTCAAATGACAATGTAGCTGTGATTGACCAGTTTGTTGAATAAAACAATCACTAAGGAACAGCAAGGAATAAATTCTTATTTCTATATGTATAACACCAACTGCATTATTTTTGAAATAAAGACTTATAAAGAATAAAAGTTCTTAAGATGACTTTTTCTGAAGAGATTCTACCAATGACACATATCTTGTATCAACCTAGGATGTACCCGACTGAACAGCTTCAATAATTATTTCATTGGTAATATCTGTGAATTCAGCATTCTAATCAACATCAATCTGATAAAGAATTAAAATTCATTGACTGTCATACACATTTCAAGCATTAACTTCAGGATCTATTTTGAGGGCATCCTTACCATTGATTAAAACATTGTCCTTATTCTTAGTGGATACATTGCCAATGCAGACATATTTGTCAAATCAACGCTATCCAGCTAATAGTACTATAAAGATAAACTCAGTAACTGATAAATGGCTTGATCCAACTTATCCTACATTTTCACCTTCTGACTGCTCTGTTCAAAGAAAAAATATTGTTTACAGTGTTTCACAAACCTTAAGAAATTCTTCAAAAATTTTGGAGTTATATAAATGTGGCTGACTGCCTATGAAGACTAAGAGATCTATGGCACTTTTTCTTCTTTCTTCAATAACTGTCTCTTCAAATCTTCCTGTATAAGCACAAAAATTTCACACAGTTAACAACATAAGATAATTCAAGAATACTTTAGACTTATTATATGATGCATTGATGGCAGAATATGACAATCAATTGTATCTACATCTTATGATAAATACTTAATAAATAGTATTTTAGGAGAGACATTGGATTTGCTTCATTTCAAGTTGAATTTGCTGCATATTTCTGAATATATTTTAAACAGGAAAGTTTGGAAAACAAAAGACCTATCCAAAATTGTACTTGATTGTATGCAGTAATATTCTGTAAATCAACCATTTTTTTTTAGTAAAATAATCATTTGAATATGTCAAATGATGTCCAAATGATTGGATATTCTCTTATTTGAATACATTAATAAATCGCTGCCACGCTAATCTGCTAGAAAATATTAAACACATCAAAAAAGTATCCATGAAAATAATTTTGTTTACAGTAATCTGTATATAACATAAAACATGAACCATACCAAACAACTTTGGTTTAGCAAATAACGGAAACGGGTTCCGTCTGTGTAAAGCTTTGTGTAAGTTTATCATTCCTTTGTACAATTCTTTAAAATCATTATATCTCTTCCATATGATGATCTGAAAAAACAAAAAGAAGATATAATTTTTTTAATTTCCTGAAAAGAAATGTGAATAGATATACATGTATGTACACAAACAGTACAAACAAGGTGATACAGTTACAATGAATGTTGGTAATTTTAAGAGATTTACTCTTAGACATCTTTCTGTAAATTCAATAGATATTTTATAAGAGTGCCATTACTTAGCATGCTGTTGCCCTATTTCACCATTATTCACTAATCACCAGCAAGAGTAATTTTAGGTGAATCTCATTGGGTTGGTATGTTTACTGTTTCAAGTGCAACATGTAGCCATGATTGGATTCCATATCGCCAAAGATCAAGTTTTCAGTGTCATCTGCTTCTTACATTGTTATAACAGTAAGTACACATGTATTGTCCTAGTCCTGGTGTTTTATGGGGTTGTATCAGTTTATAAAAAGTCTAACTGATTTTCCTTGTTTTCTCTTCAGTACTCAATAACATGTACATTCTTAGTATAACACCTTAAGAACATTTCTCATGTTTCAACTTTTTTGTTATATTTTGCAATCCTTTGAATTTTTCCTATGCTATGCTTAATATTTTCACAGTACTAGCAATGTCAAATCTGTTTCATGAAAAAACATCAGAAAGGTTCAATTTTTTTTAGACTTTTTACCATTAGAAAGGAAAGATGAGCCATTCACAAGTTTTAAGTTTACTTTATTGTTTATATTGTTGCTATATACTTGACTTTTCTGAGACTTAATTATATTTCTATTTCAGACTGTTATTAATACAAACCTCGGTGAGCTTATCTGATTCAGACATTCTGAAAACCTAAAAATATAAAGAAAACAGATACATTATATAATTAGATGTCAATAAAATTGTTATCAAAACACATATTAAAATTTTTGACACTTGCTGAAAAAAGGAAGATAAGCATGTAAGGGGTACATGTATGCATCAACAGATACAGTGGCAAAGCCGATGAGGCGAGAACAATAGAAAACTAACTCTTCTTATGAAAGTTGACAAAATCAATAGTAAACAATTCCAGTGGTGATACTGAATAAAAGTTATTTTTAAACAACAAATGTACATTTTAAAGAAACTGTATGTTAAACGGTGTAATATTAGAAATGCAAATACATCATGTTTTATTTCATTATTTATCGAGATAATATTGCATTAGAAGCTTGTGAAACTGAAATTAAAAAATGTCAATCATTGCTGCATATTGATCATGTTGATAAACAAATTGGAAAAAATCATACACATAAAATATCTAAAGCTCTTTCAAATCACCAATTTTGAAGTGTTCCACAAATATAAAAATAAGGAGATGTGGTATGATTGCCAACAAGATATAGATTCTTAAAGAAATGTTGTCTTTTCTTTAATATAAACATTTAAAAGTTGTGTCTGTGCAGGTTAAAAAATTAAAGATGAATATTTTTACAAAGTAGGTTATCCATTAAAAGATTTTAACTATGTTTTTACAATTTTTGTCTCAATTTTTATTTGCGGTCTTCTGGATGTATTCACATTCAATGTTTACATCGAGATAAGTTCTGTTGGAATTTATTAGTACACATGTAACTTAATTTCAAAAGTGTTAATCTCTGCTGCAAATCAATAGATTCTTTTGGTATTTTTTCTTTAAATTATATGATCTAGTTGCATACATATACAGATAATTGGCATGGTACAGAGAGATATACAGCCAGTAGAAAAATCAACTGAAGTTGGTACTCCAGAAATTTATTTGCATAGCAACATTTTAAACTAAGATCCTATAGACTGCTGTTCTTGTCAATTCTTATTTTGGGAGGGAAATAATAACATTATACTGAAATTTGGTTTTATTCGAATTCATTTTTATTGTTTCTAAATACAAGAACATTTCTTGTAAATGTATAATTAATAGGTTCCTTGCTAAAGCAGGACATACAAAGAAAAGATCAAGTTTTCAGTGTTTGAAGGGGAGGCAATACATGTCATGATGTGTATTTTGACACTAGATTTCCCACTGGATAGGAATTTAACAACACAATATTAGGTTATATTCTTTGTCAGACTTACTCAAACATTTATTAGTGGGAAATTGTATGATCCTTAAATGTTTTACAAAAATCCAGACAGAAAAAAGTTTTCAACCATGATGTTGAAGCTTACTTAGCATTAGGCCCTTTCACAGTTATAGCAGCCATATTGCAGAGTTTCATAAAGGAGGTTAAAATGCTTTGAAAAAACACAGGAAATGACATTGAAACAGAACAGTTGCTTAAATACATGCATAGGGTTCCCTGTACTTTCTTACTATTTCCACTGCCATCCAAAACATCTCCCCTTATTCAATACAGCTGCATTAACAGAGAAGTTGCCTTTTATACATTTTACATGTACATGTACATGAAAAAATTACCCATCTATTATTAATGCTACCTATGGGAGCATATGTGAGCCAATGCTCCGTGTTGAAGGCCGTACCTTGACCTATAATGGTTTACTTTTATAAATTGTAACTTGGATGGAGAGTTGTCTCATTGGCACTCATACCACATCTTCCTATATCTATATAATCATATTTACCTCAAGTTTAAGATTTTTTTTAGGTTAAATTTGATAAAAAATTGGTTGAAGGATTGAATGGTGTAAAAGTACAATGTTCAGTCTCTCTATACTAATTTTGGTTATTGTTTACATAAAAATACTTTTTTCCTGAAACATCATAAAGAAGAATGGGATTTCCCACTAATTTGTATATCTGCCCCCAAAAATAGAAAAATGCACCAATAACCTTTGGGTGCTCATCAGGTTGTACCCGCCTCAATTTCATGAAAAATATATATGCATGTACAACTACAAGGACATATATAAGATATCTATATATATGTTAGTTAAACGTTCTTGTCATATATAATACAAACCTGGGCAAAATAAATCACTTATCAGGATGAATCGAACCAGGTGAAAATGTAAACAGATCCCAACCTGTTAAACTTATTCTATGCCATGACAGTGCATATAACCATAATAAGGATTTTAAGTATGTCAATACTGATCAAAAAGATTAACTTAATATAACCAGTTATTTGTCAGTTCACCGATTCTAATATTTTTTGCAGGATTTGTGACGTTGGTAGCTTGTTCTTTTGGGTTCAATAATTAAGTGTAACAAAGAATGCTATGGAGTTAAATTACGAATGTAAACATACTCTAATTGTCACTTTATAAATTGTGAAGCCATTTGGATGTAATGTTGGATCAGAAACATTAAAATTCCATATTTTATCTTGCACAGATGTTTGACGTTTCGTTCTCGATGCCATTTTCGATTTGCGGTGTTATGTCGTAAACACGTGATGTTAATTAAAGTTCCTTCATTAAAATTGTTATTATATAAGTATCCTTATTTCTTATATTATAAATAAATTGCTGTTTTCTAATTTAGTTAAAAAATTTATTATCAAATACCAAAATGATATGTATATCGTAAAAACCTCAGAGCAAACTGTTTACCTGTCCATGACTCATTAGGTTACCAGTTTTAAGCATTAAAATATTAAAAATGGGACTCTTAACCATTCTTAAGAAAATGAAGCAGAAAGAAAAGGAAGTCAGACTTCTGATGTTGTATCCTTTTTGTTTTACTTGTGATTAAATTTTTTGCTCTCTATTTATGTAGGTGCTATCTAGGATAACAGGGATTAAAAGGACATGGTCATGAAAGTTGAAACTGAATATATTAATATTTATGATTTTATCACATATTTGTATAAAAAAAATCTTGATCTTGATCTTCATATGATACGGTGATATGTCCGATGGACATTTTCACGCCATGTTACAGTCCGTCACATAGTGATTAATCCAAATACCCCCTCCCTAACAAAATTTATATCTGCAAATGATCTGACTTGGTCTTTTCATGAATCTATCTAAGATTGTCGAAAATGTGCGATGGTATTGAGTTTCAGTCCTTTATAATGGTATTCAGGATAAAGCTAAATTTGAGTGAGTCTGTTTTGGTTGGTGGTCTGAGGAAATGATGTTTGTGCATTGATTTGGTGATCCATCCTGTTATTTTCAACTGCTCTGTTGGTATATGTCGAGCTTTATTGTTTAGTCCTTTATACAGAAGTATAAGCCTACTCTTCTATCTCTTAATGGTGGTAAATTGAGCTGTTTCAGAATCGCTATCATTGATTGGGGTTCATAATCTCTGTAATTTGATGAAATGAATCGGGCCGCTCTTTTTTGGACGTTTTCTAATATCTCCTGGAGATAGAATCTGGGAGATTATGGGTATTCAATGATTCTGGAACATAACTGACAATATCTTTTTCAAATAAAGCATTATATTTATGTATTTATCCTATCATATTAAACTAACAGATATGACATGGTGTCTCTGCAAATGTATATTTTGTTCAGGATTTTAGTCTTTTAGGCATTTAAATGAAATTTTATAGGTAGAAATAGTAATATAATGAAATTGAAATAAAAAATCATTTTACAGTTTAATATAAAAGTTTTTTAGAGGTTTTGAGATAATTTGAACACAGAGCCATGCATTTGGATTGCATTCGGTATATATTTATATATATGGCTAACCATCACCTTTTATAGAATGAATTTATACAGATTTGAACACCTCCCTAGAAGATTGTTATGGTATCTACATGTACTTTCTAAAAATGCTTAGATCCTTTTTACAGTATATGATAAGGAGATGTGGTATATATGGTGGTATGATTGCCAATGAGATAACTCTGCATCAGAGCCCAAATGATGTGGATATAAGTATTAAGACTGTGCAAAGTTTCCAAACCTGTTAAAGAAGGACATTGAAACATATATTTTGATTATCAAACCTTAACATAATGTAGGGGATTGGACAATGCTGGAAAAACAACAATACTAAAGAAATTTAATGGCGAGGATATAGATACAATTTCACCAACACTTGGATTTAATATCAAAACACTGGAACATAAAGGGTAAGAGTTTTTATCTTCAGTTGGTAAGATATTTATTTCATACATGTAACTACACAGAAACATATTATCTTATTTTGTGATTTTGATATAATTTGTATTGTGAGATGTTCTTAATATTTTTTTAAACTTTTGTATTTTACAATAAAAAAAGTCAAATTGGTTATTCAATGGTTCATTATATGTTCACATATTATTTTATTCTATTATTCATTCTCATACATGCATGTCATAATAAGAGATCTACTAAAAGGTATAATGAGCGTTTAGCATCATGCTGACAGTTATACATGTATCCCCTGACGAGTCTAATGAAATGGCAGATAAAATATGATAATAAGCAGATGTGGTATGAGTAAATTCAGAATTGTTGTGTTATTTCAACAAATGAATAATATCAGACTTGTATCAAAAAGGAAAACAGTTATTTCAGGAGATTCAATTTTAACAATGTTTAAGAGAACAAGAAAGTTCAAATTTGAACAATCTTGTTTAAAGTATTGATTTAGATTAATATCAGAGTTAGTGATGCTAGTCATACTTGTGAATCTTTATGCACATTTTTATATGTAAAAAAAGACTATATTTTACGAGATGAATTTAAAGAAACTGTTGAAGAATAGTAACTATTAGTTAAGGACTGCAACATTTTAAGAGTATGTCTATTTTATTGAAGTATATACATTTATCATCTATTATGTAAAGGTAAATTTGAAATTTTTGTTGACATTTCTATTGTTTATATTTTTCAGATTTAAACTAAACATTTGGGATGTTGGAGGTCAGAAATCTCTACGATCATACTGGAGAAATTATTTTGAGAGTACAGATGGGTTGATTTGGGTTGTAGATAGTGCAGACAGAATGAGAATGAATGACTGTAAACAAGAACTTCAGGCACTGCTAGTGGAGGAGGTACATTACTTTTCTGATAAAAGTGACCTTTGAACTTACAATATAACAAATGGAACATTATTAGGGCTATGACTGAAGTGAACATAAAGTTTTTGAGTGAGGGGCAACCAAAGTACACACATAACGAAAATTATTTTATAAAAAATCTTTTGAAATAAATCAATTGATCGACTTTTATATTCCTGATTTGTTACAGACCCTTTGCAAATGAAAGTAGTGGATGAACAATGTTTACTGCATGCCTAACTTCCCACTTGTCCAAAAGCTCAAATTTACACTAAGATAATAAACTTTATTATGCAGTAGTTTGAAATCATTTTAAACTAATGGTAGCTAAAACTGACATGTTCAGAAAAAAAAACTTCAATTCAATTCTTACTGACTGTTAAGGATGTACACCTCTGAGGAGCCAAAAATTTCTTGAATTGAACTTTTTTTCTTAACCTGATTTTTGGGTTTATATGACTGTAAAAAAATAATTGGTGAAGAAAAAATCATATGGGGGGTGCACTTCTGTTTTTGCTACGGCCATTTGAAAGTACCCAATTTTGATGATTTTCCCTTTTTTCATCAACTTTTACCCATTTTTGGGCTATTATCATGAAAAAAATCACAGTTCACAATTAAACTTTTTATCATACTTGCACTAAAGATGAAGTGGACCAATCTGAATAAATTTAACTTAAAAAAAACTAAAGGTAGGTGTTAATATAAGAAAGTTTTATAAAATTTTGTTGCTTTTTCTTGTCAAATGTACCATGCTGTCAATTTTGTAAATTTGGAATTTTTCTCTTTTTTTAGAACAAAAAGCATATTATTTCAACTTCTTTGTTATAAATGATTGAAAAAATACATATCTAAGAAATTTGAAAAGAAATTGATATGGGATGTACATGTTTCAGGTAAAATCATTTCTTGTACCCCTCACCCATTTTCTCAACATTTTGGCTAATGAGACTGACACGTCAGAGGAATACATCCTTAAGAGTGAAATTTGAATAGAAGATATTTAAATTCAATTCATATAGATCTACAACCAAAACAAGTCTTGAAAATTGCTGTAAATTCTAAAATTTCTATGATGTTTTCATTAATGCGAAATTTGCTACTGAATATATAGGTATCCAAAAAATAAAAAATCGCATTTTAAATTTTGCTAGCATTATTTTGTATATATGCAGCATTTTCTGAAATTCCAATAATTTATACCTCATTTTAATACTTAGTTCAACAATCACAATAATAGATGCATGAAAAAAATTCTGAACTGAGAGTAGTTCAACAAATTCAGGAATATTTAATCGATAATGCTGAAAATGTGTTAATCAAACAATATATTTAAATACATGTGATATTTTTTATACAGTTTATACTAAAAATGAATGTTTATATTTTATGCAATATCTATTTTCAGAGACTAGCAGGTGCTACCCTACTTGTATTTGCAAACAAACAAGATTTACCAGGGTCTCTGACAGCACAATCAATCAGAGAAGTAGGTATATTAATAAAACAAGCATGTTATAGTTTTGTGAAGAGAAAAGGTTTTATGCATTTAATTTTCAGACCACGGAATTTCTTGATGAAACACCAATGACTTTTTTGTATACTCAATTTGTAATGAAAAAATTATCACTTTTGCCAAACTCTCTGAGTAAAATTCTGTAATTGTTCACATGATACTTTTGGTACATAAGACTACTTAAATAATATACATTTTTTGGTACCCTGCTTTTGCTGTTTTGTTTGTTGCAGCAAAGTTAATAGAAATTCATTTATTTAGTTTTTAAAACAAGATATATGAAAAAAAGGAGATTTGGGGTATATGACAAAAGACAATAACCCAAATTTGTATTTTCTTCATAGCAGTTGTCTTTTTAGCACTTTCATAGTCAGAATGTAGTACAAAAAACAGGAAATATATGTACATTGCAAAAACTAATACTTACAGTATCTTCTGTGTTTCAAATAAAAATATAGAAAAACCCTTTTTACTTCATGTTTTACCTATTGTAATTATATTAGAATTTATTTAATTTGACTGAGGTAACATTTTTATAAACTTTTTTGTCATATAGCAAGCTTTTATATTCCAGCATTTTCTGGTACATTTCCAATAACATAATGTTTATGTCATTACAGTCACAGTAAGAGTTGATTTTTTCAATGACGCCATTAACACCCATTAATATCAATCTGCGTAACTCATTCATTCAAAAGAACTTGAAATATTGGATTAAAAATCCCTATCAACCTGCAAACTGTTTTACAAAAATGTAAGGAAGATACCAGGGGGACAATCAAAAACCACAAAAGAAAACAAAAACAGACAACATCCTTGTAATAGAGATAAAGAAAAAGTAAAAGAAAGACAGACAGATGGACACCACCATGGTCAAACAACAGTGAAAAAAACACTGCATATAAAACTAAATTGAGGAATGCAAACCCCCGTAATCACATAGGGGGTGAATTTAGGTGCTGTGGAAGGGTAATCATTTCCTGTAGCACAACTGGTAATTTTTTCATTGACCAGTATTGATTATCTCCCTTGTCACAATGTAGAAGAAACATGACTTTTTCTCGGTACATGTATTTAAATTTGTGTGGTTTATAATAATTGCTCTGGAGGGTACAATATTTGCTATCAGAGTTGGACTTTTTTTTAAGCTGTTGTAGTGAAGTGACCAAGTTTCACTAGTATTTGATTTTTTCCCCTGTTGGTTTACAACTTCTATGATCACTGTAGAACTGCAGTCATTGGAAATCAATCTGTTATACATTAGAAGGTTATCATTAAGGACAATGTTGGTATGGAATCACATCTGTTTTATTAATGCTAATTAGAGAAATTACATTTTGATAAATTAGAAAAACTGAAAATTTAGTGCATCTAATGCACTTTTCTGGATTTATCTTTATCAGCAACAATTTGAAAGCCTGTTTTAACAACTGGTTTGATAATTTATCCCTAATTTTCACTGTATTGGTAACATGTATAGCATAAGTATGGGGTCATATGCATTATTATGCTATTGTGGCAATTACAGTGTTGTAAAATTTACTATTTGTAATATGCTTCGCCCATACACAATTGCGTCTTTAACACAGTATTGGCTTTGACTCAAAAGGTAATACTAGAGAAGTTCATGCAAGAATTAATCCTAGAAATTTCCCTTTTTTCATCAACTTTTACCCATTTTTGGGCTATTATCATGAAAAAAATCACAGTTCACAATTAAACTTTTTATCATACTTGCACTAAAGATGAAGTGGACCAATCTGAATAAATTTAACTTAAAAAAAACTAAAGGTAGGTGTTAATATAAGAAAGTTTTATAAAATTTTGTTGCTTTTTCTTGTCAAATGTACCATGCTGTCAATTTTGTAAATTTGGAATTTTTCTCTTTTTTTAGAACAAAAAGCATATTATTTCAACTTCTTTGTTATAAATGATTGAAAAAATACATATCTAAGAAATTTGAAAAGAAATTGATATGGGATGTACATGTTTCAGGTAAAATCATTTCTTGTACCCCTCACCCATTTTCTCAACATTTTGGCTAATGAGACTGACACGTCAGAGGAATACATCCTTAAGAGTGAAATTTGAATAGAAGATATTTAAATTCAATTCATATAGATCTACAACCAAAACAAGTCTTGAAAATTGCTGTAAATTCTAAAATTTCAAAAATGTAAGGAAGATACCAGGGGGACAATCAAAAACCACAAAAGAAAACAAAAACAGACAACATCCTTGTAATAGAGATAAAGAAAAAGTAAAAGAAAGACAGACAGATGGACACCACCATGGTCAAACAACAGTGAAAAAAACACTGCATATAAAACTAAATTGAGGAATGCAAACCCCCGTAATCACATAGGGGGTGAATTTAGGTGCTGTGGAAGGGTAATCATTTCCTGTAGCACAACTGGTAATTTTTTCATTGACCAGTATTGATTATCTCCCTTGTCACAATGTAGAAGAAACATGACTTTTTCTCGGTACATGTATTTAAATTTGTGTGGTTTATAATAATTGCTCTGGAGGGTACAATATTTGCTATCAGAGTTGGACTTTTTTTTAAGCTGTTGTAGTGAAGTGACCAAGTTTCACTAGTATTTGATTTTTTCCCCTGTTGGTTTACAACTTCTATGATCACTGTAGAACTGCAGTCATTGGAAATCAATCTGTTATACATTAGAAGGTTATCATTAAGGACAATGTTGGTATGGAATCACATCTGTTTTATTAATGCTAATTAGAGAAATTACATTTTGATAAATTAGAAAAACTGAAAATTTAGTGCATCTAATGCACTTTTCTGGATTTATCTTTATCAGCAACAATTTGAAAGCCTGTTTTAACAACTGGTTTGATAATTTATCCCTAATTTTCACTGTATTGGTAACATGTATAGCATAAGTATGGGGTCATATGCATTATTATGCTATTGTGGCAATTACAGTGTTGTAAAATTTACTATTTGTAATATGCTTCGCCCATACACAATTGCGTCTTTAACACAGTATTGGCTTTGACTCAAAAGGTAATACTAGAGAAGTTCATGCAAGAATTAATCCTAGAAATTTCCCATTTGTTAGAGTGGATTAAAGTGAAAGTTAAATTTGTCAAAATACTAAAAAATCTAAATTCCTTTATTGTAGGCTTTAGAATTAGATGAAATAAAGACCCATCACTGGTTAATACAAGACTGTAGTGCAGTGACTGGTGAAAATTTATTAAAAGGTATAGACTGGGTAATAGATGACATAGCTTCAAGAATATTCACCATGGACTGAAAAAAGCTATTTATAGATCTGATGAAATAAGCTTAACTGTGATAGATGGCCGCTATGTGTTGTAGACAGACATTATTTAGTGATGAGAAGTACTAAAACTGTACTTGAAGTGGTCCAGATGCAGGAATTCCAAGAAGTTTTCATTTCTAAATTAATAAAAGAATTCTTGTAAACAATTTGTTGAAGTTATAAACACAGCAAATGTTGGTAAATGATTAATCTAATGACAATTTGTTTGCTCTTTTTCTTGTTACTTTGTTTCATTGTCAATTGCATACAACTGCCTTGGTGGTCACCTCAAAGTATAGGAGGTAATGGACTCACTCTGTCTATGTCACCCATTAGACTCTAAAATTGGTATTTGCTGCTTCTCTGCCATGTATGACTTATTTAGAACTAAGAGCAAAAAAAATATTGGCTTGGAGTCTACCTACAGACTGTTACTTTGTGGGAAAGCACTTTAAAAATCCAACTCAGCAAGTTGTTCTGTACAAAGTCAGGTATATTCATATTTCATTAACTTGTTATCATCCTGAATACGCTTGTAATGTTTGCTACTTGACATTCTACATCCATCAATCAATAGCTTACCCTATTCACCATTTTCATTCCTTTGATTTTTTATGGCCCCGCAAACAAAGTTGTCCGGGCCATATAGTTTTACCCTTGTCCGTCATTCCGTCATTCTGTCATTCCGTCATTTTGTCATTCCGTCATTATGTCATTCCGCAACAAACCATTATACAGACTTTTTTTCTAAACGCCTTCAGATATTGGGCTGATTTTTGGTATGTGAGTTAACCATGATGAGTTACAGATCAAGTTTAAGTTTCGTTCTGCTCTGCTTATTTTTGCCGAAATTACGGGCTTTGGACTTTGATAAATTGTTGAAAACACAGTTATAAGGATTTTTTTTCTAAACGCCTTCAGATATTGGGCTGACTTTTGGTATGTAAGTTAACCATGATGAGTTACAGATCAAGTTTAAGTTTCTTTCTGCTCTGCTAATTTTTGCCGAAATTATGGGCTTTGGACTTTGATAAATTGTTGAAAATCACAGTTATACAGACTTTTTTTCTAAACGCCTTCAGATATTGGGATGATTTTGGGTATGTGAGTTAACCATGATGAGTTACTGATCAAGTTTAAGTTTGGTTCTGTTCTGCTAATTTTTGCCAAAATTACAGGCTTTGGACTTTGATAAATTGTTAAAAATCAGTTATACAAATTTTGTTTCTATACACCTTCAGATATTGGGTTGATTTTTTGGTATGTGAGTCTACCATGATGAGTTACAGATCAAGTTTATATTTTGATCTGATATGCTGATTTTTGCCGTAATTACACGTTTTGGACTTTGACTTGAAAATTGATGAAAATCACAGTTATACAGACTTTTTTTCTATACACCATCAGATTTTGCGCTGATTTTTAATATGTGAGTCTACCATGATGAGTTACAGATCAAGTTTATATTTTGTTCTGATATGCTGATTTTCATGTCGTTTCAACACATCTTCAGTACATCCACTTCCTGTTTGCTGATAGTTTGAAATTTAACTACTCATTGATCAAGGAAATTTTTCATCAAACTAGTATTGGTCTTGATAGCTGGATACTATCCATGCATGTTGAAATTGCAGATTTTAAAACTTTTTGAGACGGGGTCATTTGTGTAGTTCAGACTCATCTAGTTCCTTATGTAACCATCTGTCCATCATCATTCAATAAAAAACATTTTCCTGTGTAATTACTTGACTCCAAAAAAACTAAAATTTTCATTTGTAATATATTGAAGGCCTATTAAAATAGTGTTTTTATTCCACACATAAAAACACAGCAATCAAGGCAATTCTTCATTCTGCTTGGTCAATTTTTAACTTTCTTCAATAAAAACAACAATGCCAAATCTTTTCAGTATTAACTGGAATGGTGATTTTTCGAATTTTTGTCTCGCCTGCGAAAAGCCAGACATAGGGATTGCTTTTGCGGCGATGGCTGTGGCAGTGGTGTCAACAATTGTTAAGTTTTCTGCTTAAGTTAGTATGATAGGAACTACTTGTGATAAATCATTGATATTTTATATAAAGTTGCATTACTATCAGTACATATCAGTTTGACAACTATTTCGAGGCCCTGCCCCGTAGGTCATGGTCCAGCAACTTTGAATTAACTAGCAATTTTCAATGTTAATTTTTCTGCTTAAGTTAGTTTGATAGGAACTACTTGTGATAAATCATTGATATTTTATAAAAAGTTGCATTACTAATAGTACATATCAGTTTGACAACTATTTTGAGGCCCTGCCCCCTAGGTCATGGTCCAGCAACTTTGAATTAACTAGCAATTTTCAATGTTAATTTTTCTGCTTAAGTTAGTTTGATAGGAACTACTTATGATAGATCATTGATATTTTGTATGAAGTTGCATTACTATCAGTACATATCTGTTTGACCACTATTTTGAGGCCTTGCCCCCTAGGTCATGGTCCAGTGACCTTGAATTAATTAGCAATTTTCAATGTTCAGTTTTCTGCTTAAGTCAGTTTGATAATAACTGCTTGTGACAGATCAATGATATTTTGTATAAAGTTGCATTACTATCAGTACATCTCAGTTTGTCGACCATTTCTAGGCCCTGCCCACATGATCATGGTCCAGCAACTTTAAATTAATAAGCAATGTTGCTGTCCATCAGATTGTCTTTTTCTGAATTTTATGTGGACAGGTGAGACATATCTCTGTGTCAACAGTTTATTACAAAAAAAATGCTTGTTTCTAATTAAGCCTCATGGTGGCTATGATGCCTAAGGACACAAAGTCCTCTTTATCACCTTTTTAATCTGTCATATGCAACGTCATAGCAATCTGAAATGAATATGGCAGGAATAAAGTTTGAAAGTTTATTTGAAAAAATTCTCTTTTCGACCTATCTGATTAAAAATTCAGTCACCATAGACAAATTTTGAATTCTTAATTCCTTAAAGTTTCGAGGTTTGTAAGATTATCTGCATAAACTCTTTTGCAGCTGATGAATATACATGGTGTTACATGCTAAAGTGGGTTGACTGTCTGTTGTAATAGTACTTTCGATGTTTGTCATGACTTTGTGGGGGAGTCTATATTCTCTGGAACTAATAGTCTACCAAAAAAGTATTGACTCAGGAGCAGTGATGCAAAGATAACAAATACGAAATTTTACTACATGCATATTGCAATGATATCAATCTTTTGTATTTACCTTAACTAGATTATCTTTACACATGCATCTATTCTTAGTATCTACTACCAGATTGACTGACAGTTTAACCGATTAAATATATAATTGTATCTTGGGGATTTCTAACAGTTGTTATAATCATGTCTTAGAATAATATTAAAGTATTAGAATTTACATGGAATTAGTCATCAGTCATTAAGTAACTGATGAATACATGTATAACACATATTGGTTCTTTATGGATTGAATGTCTTTAGATATTCCTGAGGTATAAAATTTAGAGAATGAAAGATGTGAAAAATCATTTGCAGGCCATAAACTTAAAAAAAACAAGAGTGCACACGCTGAAATGTCTCGCCTTCTTTACTAACCATTGATATTATGTTGATAGTCCTAAATGAAAGCTTTACAGTACTACAACTATTACATAAACTTAACATGATCCAAGAAAATGAAGTCAAGGTCATATAAACCAAACGAGAAATACATGTACACCTTACAATCATTCAATACACTAAATATAGTTGACCTATTGCTTATAGTTTCTAAGAAACAGACTTAACCAAGAAAACTAAACATTGACCAATGAATCGTGAAAATGAGGTCAAGGTCAGATGAACCATGCCAGGCAGACATGAACAGCTTACAATCCTTCCATACAACAAATATAGCTGACCTATTGCTTATAGTTTAAGAAAAACAGACTGAAACACATAAACTTAACACTGAGCAATGAACCTTGAAAATGAGGTCAAGGTCAAATAAAACCTGCCAAACTGACATGTACATCATAGAATATTTCCATACACCAAATATAGTTGACTTATTGCATATAGTATTAGAAAAAAGACCAAAACTCAAAAACTTAACTTTGACCACTGAACCATGAAAATGAGGTCAAAGTCAGATGACACCTGCCAGTTGGACATGTACACCTTACAATCATTCCATACACCAAATATAGTAGACCTATTGCATAAAGTATAAGAAAAATGGACCAAAACACAAAAACTTAACTATAACCACTGAACCATGAAAATGACGTCAAGGTCAGATGACACCTGCCCGCTAGACATGTACACCTTACAATCATTCCATACACCAAATATAGTTGACCTATTGCATACAGTATAAGAAAAACAGACCAAAACACAAAAACTTAACTATAACCACTGAACCATGAAAATGAGGTCAAGGTCAGATGACACCTGCCAGTTGGACATGTACACCTTACAGTCCTTCCATACACCGAATATACTAGACCTATTGCTTATAGTATCTGAGATATGGACTTGACCACCAAAACTTAACCTTGTTCACTGATCCATGAAATGAGGTCGAGGTCAAGTGAAAACTGTCTGACAGGCATGAGGACCTTGCAAGGTACGCACATACCAAATGTAGTTATCCTATTACATATAATAAGAGAAAATTTAACATTACAAAAAATCTTAACTTTTTTTTCAAGTAGTCACTGAACCATGAAAATGAGATCAAGGACATTGGACATGTGACTGACGGAAACTTCGTAACATGAGGCATCCATATACAAAGTATGAAGCATCCAGGTCTTCCACCTTCTAAAATATAAAGCTTTTAAGAAGTTAGCTAACGCCGCCGCCGTCGCCGCCGGATCACTATCCCTATGTCGAGCTTTCTGCGACAAAAGTCGCAGGCTCGACAAAAAGTAGCAATTTTTAATGCTTTCTATTACAAAGGTTTTACAGAGTGAAGCAATGAAATGCAGACAATATCTTGAGATTTGGTGTAGATCCAAAAGAAAAAAGAACTCATATTTTAGAACATATTTTTAAATTAGACCATACGAAAAAGATATGTGAATTCAACTTTCAGAACTCGAAAATCACTTTACACCAAAACTTATACAGGTTTTTACTCAACTAGTTAATTTTCTTAATTAATTTTTACTGAAACAGCTTCCTTCAGTTGACTTTTTACCTTATATTGACCAGTATTCTACCTGAGCTCTTTTGGTTTCAACACCTGGTATTTTTCAAATCATCTCTTTAGGCAAAGTTGACCTCTGGTGGATTTGGTATTCTATTATAGTAACTTTTGTTCATAAAGTATTAAAGTATTTATACATCCTCATATTCACTAGCAAAGGGTTAGGATCCAATTGTATTCCTTGGCTAGAGGAGATGATACATCCTTGGATTTCCAATTTTTGGGTTTGAGAGTTCCTACTGTACTGTATGGCATTAAAACTAGATCCTACTAAAAACATCAAGAAGCACCACAGGTTTCTATAAACTTTAGGGGCCTTGTCGTCGAGTGGCCTAAGTAGTTAATTCTGTCAACACTGAGGTTGTAAAGACGTACCCTGTATGTGGCAGGTGCATACGACCCCAATTCTTAATTGACTAGGATTGACAATTTTCCTGCCTTGTCAGTTGTTCTCTGGGCACACCTTCTTCCTCCAACAATAAAAATCGACCTCCAATAATGCTGAGAGTGGCATTAAACATCAACAATCAATCTATAAACTTGAAACAAAAACACAAACATAAATGTCAAATGACAAAAATTGTGATAGAGGGGAGATAATTCTTATCATTTAACATTTCAACAATAATAGACATCAGATAGATGTAAGAAATTGTTCCCTCCATTTCTTTTGTTCGGCTGTAACATTAAGATTGTGAATTATGTTTTTTCTGTATTATATTATTCTGATTCTTAATTAAAATGGTCTTCAGATGATTACTGCATGGTCTTGTGCTGTAAAATGACAATATTCTAATAAATGAATTTTCAATGATGTTTATTTTATTAAAATATATGGTAAAGATATAATTTGCTTATATTTGTGGTTTTAAGCAAGCTACTTTTCCATATCACTGTATAAGTCCATGAGCTTATGTATATCAAAGCTTCTATTTACTGTCTCCTGGTATTTTCTTGTATCATCGAATCATAATGATTTCTCAAGTCTTTAAATAAAGTCTTGATATAATCAGTAATCAGCTCTGTCAGGATGCCAATGGCAACAGTTGCTGGGAAAGTATTATTTGAATATTCATGAAAACCACAAATTTTATTGTCACATGGATGTAAACTTTTCCACCATTCTTTTTTAATCCATTAAAACTGGCCTCCAAGAAGAAAAAAACCTTTACAGAAAATAGATTTTTATACCTCTGCTTGATTTCAAATCATTATTTTATATCCTTGTATTGATCTGTCTAAACACCCAACAACAAGTTCCTTACTTCCATCCTGGTCGATAATATCAAAACAGTTCACCCAGTCTGATGTTACATGGTGACAAAGTTTCTGTAAAAAAATCAAAGTATCTTTTATATGGTGACAAAGCTTTTATTGAAATATAAAAATAAACATTAAAACACAATCATACTTCTCATAACTAAGGGTGACTAAATGGTTCATATATGGTATGGCTACCTGCTCAATGTTAAAGGCCATATACTGTAAATTCAGAAATTATTGCGATGTTTTTATTATTGCGAAAAATGCGACAGGGTTATAATCGCAATAATTATAACCTCTCATTATCAGTAAAGGGAGGTGTGTATGTGTTTCAGTCACATCAAACAACATGGGTAAGTTCATGGAAAATAATGATCAGGTATGCAGTCTCAAATGGCAAGTTTTTACTAACTGTGAGAAGATAAAGTTATGAAGGATTTCAATGATGATGACTTAAACATAAAGAGGTAATAATCACCATATCCCTCCATGTCAAACCCAACTATTGAGGTGTGTTAGACTCCATTTTTAACTGACAAAGACTGACAGTTTTCCTGAAGAAGGTCAGCGTTTCTCTCAGCAGTACTCATTTTTCCAATAAAAAAAAATACTAGTCAATGTGATTTGGCTAAGGTAGTTATAAGTGTTGTTAAGTGCTATCAAACTATATTCTTGATGTTAAACATGCACATATGTTTGCTGAATTAAGTTATATTAGTTCCCTTTTCTCACTACTGTGGTCAGTGAAAGTGTTTTTGAAATTCAAGATTGCTTTTACCGTAACTCATGGCTTGCACTAATCCTGAAATGTTATTAGAAAAAATTATAAAGGTAACCAGTAAAGGCCTGGATTTATTTTAAAAAACAACAGCAATGTGTATCACTGTTACATTGAAGTTTTTACCTTTCCATCTAGATAAATATGTATAGCATTGAAATGTCCTGTACAGACAAGTATATCATTATCATATTCTGGTAATTCTAACTTCTTCAGCAATGTTATGGTATATCCTGTATTTACATACTCTTCTTCTGTTATCTGGAATTAAGACAATGCAAATATAAAGATCCTAATTGAATGATTTACCAAGTTAAAAAAGTCTTTTTTTTTCAAATTGACAAACTTTGATGACACTTTTAGAACTATCTAAAGACTGAAATTCAAATACCATAGATTAAAATATATTCATAATATTTTACTTGAAAATTAATTAAATCTTAAAACATCATACATATTCAAGTACAAGCTATACAATAAATCACATAAGTAGGTTCTGCAGTGTTTTGAGCCGAATGGACTGTGGCTGGTGGTGAATTTGGACTACTGGAAAAATAGGGTATGTTACATTTGTTTTAGGGAAGAAATTTTGCTGCTGCAACAACTTACCTAAGGATTTGCCTAACCATGGATGTAAAGGAGGTTCTTTTGCGTGAAGACAGTGTGAACCCTATTCCCAACTAGATGTGAACTCCACAACTTGACTGATGACCCTTAGGACAGATCTTATTGTTGGAGGAAAAAAGCCCAGTTTACTATATTTTTAACCACATTCACGCTTTCAATGTTGTGGAAAAGGATATTTTAAAATATTTTTACCCAAATGGTTAATACTCTACTGTTTTATACTTACACTGAAATTGCAGAAAATAAAGATAGCTCCAGATTCTGTTCCAAGTGCCACCTGGTGACTATCAGGAGATCCACCAGCTGAAGGAGGTAGCAATGACAGTTTTGAGGGATCTACAAATTTACCAGCACACATCTGAAAAAAAATATAATTTGAATAGAAAGTATAAGCTTCTTGATTCACTTTTATTAGGCTTCAAGATTTTTTTTAATTCTATCAAGCAGGAAATAAAATTCTGTTTCTTTTTTCATGACTTCTTCATCTTTGAGGGGTCCTTGAATGATATATGTCAAGCCCAATTATCTTCTGTGTGTGTGTGTGTTGTTAATGGCACATCCATCTGTTATGTAACTAATTTATTTTGCAACTTGTCAATTCTATTTAGATTTTTACATAAGCTTTTAAATTGATAGCTATAAATCAAATTTGCTCTGCTGAAAGTTGTATACATCTAAGATAAAGGTACATAAATCAAGCAGTTTAAGACATGTAGTTTTGATTTTGCAGTCATACCACATCTCCTTATTTTTATATACAAAACAGATCTTACAAAAAAGTGTATTAAAATGTCTTTTTGGGTTTTAATGTTTTTTGGTTAATGTCTTATTGACCTATTATCCATGGTGTCTTGCCCGTATCTCCATTTATATGTAGATGGATTGTTTCTTTTCTAGCCTCGAGGCTAATTCTTGACATCTTGTATAAACACTTGTCTATTGTTTAAGACTGTTCTTTGATCCCTAGATGTCTTTTGAATTTTAGTGTAATTGATGCATACCACATAGTTCTTTTTTTTTGTAGTCTGTTACAAATAGCAAACAGTGACCTAAAGTCAGACATATCTAATTGGTACTGTAACTTACAGCGGTCACTACAGAGGGTGTTTTAACACTTGACACAATCAGACCTTGGTGTATGACACTGAGATTACAAGAACTGTCTGCTGCTAAAATATAACTGGTCATTTTCCCATGAAGATCTGGCAAATCTACTGCTAATAAACAGGTTATAGAGGATTTTACTACTTGGTCCTAAAAAAAAGACATATCTTTGTAAGAATATGTTAATTGCTTTAAATCTATAAATGTTTCAGTTGTTACTGATAATTGAAAAATTAAAAAAAAAAAATTTTAACATGAAAATGTAAATTGCTACATGTATAAATCTTTGTGAAATGAATATGTTTATTGCTACATGTATATTAAAATCTGTTACATGTTTTCTGGTTTAACTGATATTTTATCAAGAACATCTAATGAAGAATTTTTTGATCATCATTGTTTCATCATTAATTTAATGTTGATAGCCAACAGTTAGTTCTATGATGAAACTTAATTTTCAGCTTTTTGAGGTTAAAAAATTTAGAACCCATTATTACTTATTATTATAACATATTATCCCACATCTGCAGATACAAATCAAAAAGTCAGAGCATGGCAAAGCAATTGAAAAAAGTCCGCTCATACAGCAATGTGCATGACAACGAAAAATTATAAAAAAATATTAAAACGATCCAATTAAAAACTCATGTTGAGTGCAATACATTATCTATTTCTCATGGATCTTTACTTTATACTCATTTACATAGCATTTTGGTGTACGCTTTTTAAAAAATATTACCCAGAATGCATTAGATTCTGAAACGGCGAATTCTCTCCAAAATTTCTTTCATGGCAATTCACCAAATATTTGTTCTCAGTTATTACTCAATACATACCTTGCTTGCATCATTGATATTAATTCTCCATAATTCCTTGGAAGGTAGTACACCAAATATCTCTCCCGAGTCGTTACTCATAACAATCCCTAAATTATTCACTGAAAAAAAATATATATTTATGAGGAATACATATTTTGGGTTGCAAAAGAAAAGAGGACACCTTTTAAAACATTGTGAGACAGTGCTATATACAACACAGCATTGCCTTTTTTTGTTAATCATGATGGAAGAGGTATGATAAAAGCCATTTCAATTTTTGGTCCCTAAAACTGCAAAAATATTTAATTTTTATTACTAGATTGATATAATTATAGTCATTTTAGTGCAGAAAAGTTATCTGTGATGTCATTCCATGTATACATGTATGTCAAGTTTCACATATTTGACCTAAAATGACAATTTTATATATAGTTTTTAGTAAAACTAAACATAAGCAACATCCTTACCCAAAAATATTTTACTAAAATTAAAATATTTGTAAAGGACATTTTGTACCAAAATATCTTTTGGCTTATTAAGACTTTGTTATACATTTAGAATATCCATGACAAGATCTCAAAATGAGGTTATTTAGACCGATGTTTTCATAAACATACATTTTTTTAAGATCAACACCAAAATGAAAGGTAAAGTTAAAAAATTCAAAATAAGGTTTAAAATTCAAGTCTGAAGTGCTTTGATGGATATGCTTTCATCCAAAATGCCCAAACAAAAACATTTGAAGACAAGGGATCTATAAATACAAAGATATAAATACTGATATCTGATAAATTACTGCTTTATTATATTTTTTTTTTCAAATTCATAATTCTTATGATTTTTGTAACCAAGGGACCAAAAATGTGCAATTAACATATCTTCTCCTTTATATTTAAACCTGTATCTGAAATTCATAAATAACATTTACCTCAGCAGACTGCTGGTCGTCTGGATCCTATAAAATCTGAGATAGCCTTGGAGACAAAAAGACTATTTAAACATTTTCTGGATTACTTATCTTTGAATACTAGTTCTATTTTCTGGATTACTTATCTTTGAATACTAGTTCTATTTTCTGGATTACTTATCTTTGAATACTAGTTCTATTTTTTGGATTACTTAAGAACTAAGTTAATGGGATACTCCCTAATGTCTGTTTTAGTCTGCAGTTATTCTTAATCTTCAAATGCACAAATGAAGCATTGTTGACATTCAGCAGACAATTCTTGTGTTATGAGACACTTTAAACTTGCAACATGAGTGAGTTTTACTCTGTGTTGAAGGCAGAATAGAGAAGAACAGCAATAAATGTGCTGTTCATTTGCTTTGGGATGGCTAAGTGTATGTAGTGTTTGGTGTCATGAATTAGTACACCATACATGTACTAAGGTTGTGAGTTTGAACCCTCCTTGTGGTAGGTACTTTCTACTATCTTAATTGACTAGGATTGCCAGTTTTCCTGCAGAAGGTTGTGGTTCTCTCCAGGTACTCTGGCTTCCTCCACCAATGACAACTAACTGCCGATATAGCTAATTATATATAAGCATGCTGAAAGTGGAGTGAAACACCAACAATCAATGCCCATACAGGTATTCCTACTATTCAATCTCTTATCACTGCTATGAGGAAAATCAGAAATTGCTACGGAGAATGCAAAAACAACTTTTGTAGTTGACTGACCACAATGATGGCCGACTTACTTGAATTAGTTTGTGTCTGAACACAATTGATACAGGAATCTGAGACACTTTGTCGACACAGTATTTGTTGATTGCAGAAGATGGTCATCATTCCACAGGAGTCAGCAACTATAAGGTCATTATGATAAAATTTTGTAACATCCTGCACTGCCATACATTGAATTGGTCCACTTTTGGTCTCCATGATAACCTGAAAAGCTGTAATCATATTAATTTTTGCATCATCTCATTTTTTGGGGATTTTGCTTTTAACAGAACGTCAAATGTTTTATCACATAAAGGATATGGTACAATTTTTAGGGTACTATCTGTCAAGCTTTTGTTTGTACTGTAAATATAAGTATAGCGTGAAAATTGCTTCTTTTACAGTAACATATCGTATATATTTTTTATGCGACAATAGAAAGTATGGTAAAAAATATCTTCAACTGCCCTTTGATCCCTGCAGAAGATTTTATCTGCCTTCATAAACCACATGTAAAATTTTGCTTTCAACTGCTTTTAAATCAAATTCATGCAACCAGATATAATGACTTTAAAGTAATAGCTCAGAATTTCAGGGTCCTCTTATTAACAACAGCATGAAAACAACATGCTAATTATAAATGAATGTGCCTTATCAACTGCCATGCTACTGAATCATATATGCTCTTAAAGACAACAAGAATGTGTCCATAGTACACGAATGCCCCACTCACACTATCATTTTCTATATTCAGTGGACAGTGAAATTGGGGTCAAAACTCTAATTTGGCATTAAAATTAGAAAGATCATATCATAGGGAACATGTGTACTAAGTTTCAAGTTGATTGGACTTCAACTTTATCAAAAACTACCTTTACCAAAAACTTTAACCTGAAGCAGGACAGACGGACTGATGGAAGAACAGACGCACAGACAAAAAAACATATTGCCCATAGATGGGGCATAAAAACAGATTTCTAATTTCCAGGACCATGACCACTTATTTCACTGAACTTTTTAGTTCCATATCTATTCTATTGAATCCATGAAAATGCTTCCAATAAAAAAATGGCCTTAAAATAATTCATGCTGAAATATCAACTTTCCTAAAACAATACCTGTGTATTTTTGAATTCCTTTTCTTTTCCCAAGTCAAAGATTCTTATAATACCATCCTCTCCACCAATGATAAGATTCAGTCCACTCTGTCTAAAGAAAAAAAAAACAATAATAGCTTACTTATATGTCTTGGACATATAAGACATATTTAGTAGTTGCATGTCTCTGGCTCCACTAACAGTCTGCCCCGTGAGCAACTAGTCCAATGCCCCAGACTAGTAAATTCTTATTCGGGCTATAGCAGGTATAGTAAGAATTTGCAAAACTTTTGTGTAGAAACATAAGAAAAATGTCTGAATATTAGTTTGCGAACTAGTAGTTGGAAAAGATTTTGGTGCAGACTGTACTAAAGTAAATTAAACTAGGATTTGTTTTTTATAACTTAAATTGCTTTTGAAACTGAATAAGTTTATAAAAAGCATGGCATGATTTTCATTTTCACTTCCCTGTTTTCGTACAATTGCTTTTGAAACTGAATGAGGTTTTAACAAGCATATAGCATGATTTTCATTTCACTTCCCTGTTCAATTTATTCCATTAGGAATCATGGGGAAATGAACTCTGAAAAAATAATAATATAAGGTACACAAGTGATTGAAAACATTACTAAAAAAATGTTTATAAAATCAAATTAAGATTCGTTATAACCACACTGTATTTACACCATAAACTGTATTCTGAATACAGACAACCCGGTGCAGCTGGAAAACTTTTAGACCTAGATAAATAAAAATTTAGGTTCATCATTATGATCATAATATTTTGTTAATAACTTTACAGTGACCATATTTACACTTCAAAATTTAATCTGAGTACACACAAACCTGTGCATTTATATAAAAAAACTTTTAAGGCATGGCTGGACCTAGATATATACAAAAGTAAAATGTATTTTGTGTTTTAACTAGAAAACTGAAGCTTTCATGGATTTCTAGGTGCATTTTTTTTTGTTGCTTCACAAGATGTCAAAACAAAATAAGTTGGAAAAATGTTTGAGATGGTCATATCAGGAAATAATTCTGTTAATAATTGATTTTTTTTAATTAAAAATTAGTGTTGTGAAAATCCATGGATGGTACCAGCGGGATTAGAACCCTCAATCTCGGGATCTAAAGGCAGCGCTCTAACCAATTCAGCCAAAGAAGATCTTCCCTAACTCAACTAGTTAGACTCCCTTTATATCTCCAGGTCTACAACACTCTTCCCCCTTTTCTTTTTTTCGAGCTGCGTACCATCCATCCGAGCAGCTCACAGGATCACTACTGTACAACCCTGAGACTTTCACACGGAAACCCTCTGGCCAGTTCCCTGCATGTCACCTAGACATGTCACTTGTCATCAAAATGACCTGGTCAAACCTCATGACCATATCTAACATCTAACTGCCAGGCAATTACATACACTTGTGTGTACTAGTAGTAGATGCTTGCAGCACCATTGTTGTGAAAATCCATGGATGGTACCAGCAGGATTAGAACCCTCAATCTCAGGATCTGATGGCAGCGCTCTAACCATTTGAGCCAAATAAGAGCTTCCCTAACTCAACTACATGTAGTTAGACTCCCTTTATATTTCCAGGTCTACAACATTAGCTTAGTTTAATTGGATATTGATGTGCATTTTTTTCTGTTTCTAAAGAAGATGAAAAAATAAAGTAAACTGGGTAAAATAGTTGAGATGCAACCCTCAGGTAACAATGGTATTGTACATCTACATGTATAATAAACTGTTAAAATCAGTAAACAGATGACCAATTACTTTCAGCTATAACAGTCTTTATCATTCCCTCAATAAATAAGATAATAAGTGAGTGTTTACCTAAATATTGTCCCAACACATAAAGCATTAAAGCCATATGTTGTTTGGAAGGAGAAGATCTGCTTCAAATCAAAATTTCCCATATCTCTGTCATTCTTCAACTTCATGTTTGATCCATGTAATGGGAGATAACTCCAGAATTTAGGACGAACATTTTCTCCGTCTGTACGTATTCTTCTCCTACTGAAGGGGAACTCTATATAGTGTTTCATCATTTTTTTGTGTGTGCAGGTAGGTGGGTTGACATAATGTTTTACATTATATAGCTGCTGTTGAAAAACAGTTGTTGTTTCTGTTTGGAGTGTCATAAGAGTTTCTGATGGAAAAGCATTTTGGATTTGCATTTACTGAGAGTTTCTGTTGTCAGTTGTTTTTGTTTGGATTGACATTCGGGTTTCTGTTGGATAATGAGCATTGGAGTTTCTGTTTGGATTTGCATAAGAGTTTCTGTTTGATGAGCATTGGAGTTTTTTGTTGAATAAGCATTCCGCGGGAGTTTTTGTTTTGATTGGCAAAAGGAATTTTGTTGAATAAGCATTGGAGTTTCTGTTCGGGGTTCTTTTAGATGAGTATTGGAGTTTTTGTTTAAAAAACGGAGTGGCGGAAGATACCAAAGGGATGTCAAATTCATAAGTCGAAAACGAACTGACAATGTCATGGCAGTCAAGAAAATCAATTCGGAGGTTTCTGCATGTTTGATGCGTATTGGAGTTTCTGTTTAAATTGGCATTTAAATTTCTGTTGGATTAGCATTGGAGTTTTTGTTTAGATTGGCATTCACTGGGAGTTTCTGTTGGATACACGTACATTGACATTTCTTTTTGAATATAATTAAGGTTTTTGTTGGATAACCATTAAAGTTTTTGTTTGGATAGGCTTTTGTTGAGGGGACAAGCATTGGAATTTCTATTTCGATTTGCAATTAGTGAGAGTTTCTGTTGGATAAGCATGCAATTGTTTTTTGCTTGCATTGGCATTATAGTTTCTGTTTGATAAGTATATGAGTTTATGTTTGGATTGGCATTGGCTGGGAGTTTCTGTTGAATAGGCATTTAAGTTTCTGTTAAGATTGAATTAGGGTTTTTCTTAGCTAAACATTATAGTGTCTGTTTGGATTTAATTGCATTTACTGAGAGTGCCTGTTGAATGAACATTCGAGTTTATGGTTTCTGTGTATAATTTCTGTTTGGATTAATCGCATTGAAATACAGATCTTGTGTCAACGCTTTTATCGGCGTCTTTGTCAAATTTAGTATCAACAACATTTGTTTTTGTTAGATTTGTTTGTATGTTTGTTTCAGTGAACTTTATAGTCAGTTAGATTGTATATATGTGATAAAATTGAGAATGGAAATGGGGAATATGTCAAAGAGACAACAACCCGACCAAAGAGCAGACAACAGCCGAAGGCCACCAATGGGTCTTCAATGCAGCGAGAAAATCCCGCACCCGGAGGTGGTCCTCAGCTGGCCCTAACTAAAATTGTGTGCTAGTTCAGTGAAAATGGACGCCACACTAAACTCCAAAACGTATAAATGAACTAAAATTAAAAAACATACTAGACTAACAAAGGCCAGAGGCTCCTGACTTGGAACAGGCGCAAAAATGCGGCGGGGTTAAACATGTTTTGTGAGATCTCAACCCTCCCCTATACCCATAGCCAATGTAGAATAAAGAAACACATAGCAATACGCACAGTAAATCTCAGTTTGAAAGAAGTCCGAGTCCGATGTCAAAATAGGTAACAAAAGAAACTAAGCAAAATGACAATGATACATAAATGAACAAAGGACTACTAGCAGTTACTGACATGCCAGCTCCAGACCTCAATTAAACTGATTGAAAGATTATGTCTTCATCATATGAAAATCATGTACAATCCCTCCCGTTAGGGGTTTAGTATCATACCATCATAAAATATATGAGAAGAACATAAAAGAGGGACGAAAGATACCAGAGGGACAGTCAAACTCATAGATCGAAAACAAACTGACAACGCCATGGCCAAAAATAAAAAGACAAAAAACAAATAATAGTACAGATGACACAACATAGAAAACTAAAGACTAAGCAACACGAACCCCACCAAAAACTGGGGGTGATCTCAGGTGCTCCGGAAGGGTAAGCAGATCCTACACCACATGTGGCACCCGTCGTATTGCTTATGTTATTACAAATCCGGTAAATAGTCTAATTCGGTAAGTCACATTCGTGAAAAGGGAAGGGTATTGTAGTTACGACATAAGGAACATATCCGATATCATCTGTGAAACGGTTATTCCATAACGGTCAACCAACTCGTGATGGCGTCCGTAAAATTTACGAAGGGATGATTTCAACTTCACCATTTGGAACTCTTGGTTTAATAGCTTCCTTGTGAGCAGCAATCCTCTATCAAGGAAATCATGATAGGAAACACAAGCCCGGGAATATCGTATCAATTGGGAGATATATACTCCGTATGCAGGCGCTGCTGGAATGTTGCTACATAGAAATGGAAAGTTCACAATTGGGAAGCTGAAATCATCTCTTTTGTCGTAAAGTTTTGTTTTCAGCCGACCCTCATTGTCAATTTCTAGATGTAAGTCAAGATATGAGGCAGACTTAACTGTATCTGTAGTATCCTTTATCTCTAGTTCGATGGGATAGATTCGTTCAACATAGTCACCAAATTTTGTATTATTTAGTGAGAGAACATCATCTATATAGCGGAACGTAGAGTTAAAGGATATTGCTAACTTCTTATCTTTCTTCCTAAGAAGTTCCTGTATGAAGTCAGCCTCATAATAATAAAGAAACAAGTCGGCAAGAAGAGGGGCACAATTGGTGCCCATTGGAATTCCGACAGTCTGTTGAAAAACACGTCCTGCAAACGTAACAAATATGTTGTCAATCAAGAAATCAAGCATCTTGATAATGTCAGTTTCAGAGAATTTTTTGTTTGAATCAGAGTGATTCTTTACAAAGTAGGATTTATCCCTCCCCAAGACAAGATACTTGTATCTACGTTCGCCATTCTTTTTAATGAAACAAAGTAATACCAACTCTTTCAATTTGTCTTTTAGTTTGGAATGGGGAATACTTGTGTAAAGTGTAGAAAAGTCAAATGTTTTAATACTATTGCAAGATGAGAGAGTCTTAGATTGTATGTACTCTAAAAGATCTTTGAAATTTTTTAGTATCCACATCTGATTCACGCCACCTCTAGAATAGGCAGTTTCACAATAACTTTGGAGCCCGGCTTTGATTGCTGATAAAATAGATGTTAATAATTTAGAAAGAGGTTTCGTGGAGCATTTGGAAGACCCAGCAATATACCGTTGTTTGTAAGGACACTTGTGTAGTTTAGGTATCCAATACAGTGATGGAAGATCCAGTTCTTCATCTTTGGTTGTAATTCCAAAGGAACATAGAACAGACCTATGATTATCCAGAATTTCCTCTTTGGTAAGTGTCGTGAGGGTATATGTTGAGTGTCCAAGTGAATTGTCAATACCTAATTCATTTATCAAGCAGTTTATGTATTGATATTTACACACAAAAACGATGTTGTTTGGGTCTTTATCTGCGGGGACAACAACATATTTTACCCGTATCATGCCAACAACTGGTTTTAGAAGAAATGTGTTTATTTCCGATGCAAAGATCCTATGAGTGAATCAATATTAATACCAAAATATGCAATCCTTAATGACTTGACAACGGTATCGTAATTATATCCTTTCCGAATAAGTCTGTTTAAAGGTTTGGTTAGCTTTTGAGGTGAATGCCGACATTTTTGTGCTGTATGTTTTCACAGTTTTGGCTGCTGGATCCCAATTATTGTCACATTAACCTATCGTGTCTGTTTGGGTTGCTCACCCAATTTTGTCAATATAACGGAACTATAAACAACTGTCATAGAAGTGGGAGGTTTAGCTAGCTATAAAACCAATTCTTCGGAATATGCCTGTACCGAGTCAGGACTATGACAATTGTTTTTCATTCGTTCCGTTGGTTGACAACGTCTGATTTCGTTAGTTTGTATGGACTTTTTGAATTTACCTTGGAGTTCGGTATTTTTGTTATACTTTTTTTCCCGCGTACACAGGATATGTGTTCCAATCAGGTTGTGTTAAGATTATTGTTGGAGTAATTTGTATTGGCGTTTGTCGTTCTTTTTATATTATTAGGTTTGGAAATATTTTGTAGTAACTTTAAATCCTTTTTGTATAATCATTGGAGTTACTTTTCGATTGGCCCATGGCATATATTAGCATTATAATTGGAGCAATTTAAGAATACCTTTGGAGTTAATGTTAGACTATTCTTGAAGTTTCTTTTTAGATCAGCCAGCCTTGGAATTACTTCGATATAAGGTTTGGGGTTTATTTTTTTTTAGTAGTCTTGGTAAGAAAGAGCTGAAAGATACCAAATGGAGAATTAAAACTCATAATTCGAAGAGAAATCGACAAAAGCATGGCAAAAATCGAAAGACGACGAAAAGACAATCAAGTCTACAAAATACTACAGAAAAGACTGAAGACTGAGCAAAACGAACCCCACCAAAACCGTGGTTGATATCAGGTGCTCTGGAATGATAAGTAAGCATATCCTGCTTCATATGTGACACCCTTCGTGTTGGAAAGCACAAGTATTTTGTTAATTCTCAATCTGTGATGAAACAATCAAGGCTAAGAGGACGAGCGCATGGCTACGACAATGGAAACATATCCGTACCAAGGAAATCATGATAGCAAACACAACCCCTGGAATGTCATATTAAGTGGGTGATAGTTTCTCCATATACAGGCGCTGTAAAAATTATGCCACAAAGAAATGGACAGCTCACAATTGGAAAGCTGAAATCATCTCTTTTGTCGAAAGGTTTTGTTCCTAACCAACCCTCATTGTCAATTTGTAGATGCAGGTCAAGATATGATGAAGACTTAATTGTATCTTTAGGATATCCTATTTTTCAAGTTCGATTAAATAGATGAGTTCACAAAAGGCGACATTAGTTAACCAATGTTGAATCTCGTAAAAAGATTAAGAAGAGACAAACCAAGGTATCAAACAACAAACCGAGGGGATCGCAAGAACTCTTAAAGTAGCGAGACCGGGTGCGTCAACATAGTCA